AACAACAATGCCAACAACTTCTGGACTATTTTGAAAGAAAGGAAAATATGATATTAATGGCTGATATTGTAGGACAGGTATTTAATATGGAGAAGAAAGAAAAGAAAAAAGAGGTTTCAGAACTTTCAGTGACTTTGCATCATGCCTAAGCTGCAGATCCATCTCTAGAGCTAACTGCTCCATCTTTAGATCAGTAGTGTTTCTTCACCTTTGAAAGAGTGAGTGGGTGGGGATGTAATATTTTTATTAGGTACAAGCAAAGTCATAATACTTTGTAAGAGACAATTCATTTTTCTAATTGCAAAGAAAGGCAAAAAGAAAATTATATTTGGTGCAATTAAGTGCTTCATCATTCTTCTAGAGTGAGAAAATCTTGCCAGCTTTTAAAAATCTTTTTGAACTACAATAAAGCAATCATATTTTTAAAAAAGGGCATAAATGCTAAATGTTTTATTGCCTATTGAATATTAAGCAAGCACTACATCTTTAATTAAATACATTTTAAATCACTTAATACATACCAAAATCACTGACAGTCAAGTGACAGAGCCCTTACCTCAATTTACCTGTTACACTGATGTAAAAGGAAAAATAACTGTTGAATATGGCAACCCAAACTGGTAAGAAAACACCATAAATATTTAATGTTATAAAAACAAAAAATGTAAAACCTAAAAAAATATTTATTAGGCTACAACTTAGAATTTGAATTCTTTTCATGAATCGGTGATCCGATATTATGGAAACAGTCCATCACAAAGGATTTACATAAACATGGAATATAAGAAAATGAAGTGGTTATATCCTATTGATAATCAGAAACTACAAAGAACCTTGATAAAATTCCATATGGTCAGAATCATTATTTTATTAATACTTTGATTTACATATCAAGAAAAGCAATCCAGGCAGAGAATCTTCTGAGAATCCAGTAAAATCTTTAAACATTTCCACATTAAAATAGCCTAAAATTACTAAAACAGAAGAGATATAACAAAGTAAGGAAATGTTAAACAACTGTGATGTAAATAATAATTAGATGGATTAAAAAAAAAAAGGGGGAGAATCAAAACCACAGTAATAACAAGAAATCATTTTATCATTATTAAAAGTATACATCTAAAGAACATTTGTACTCTTAGCTATTCAATATAATCTGATCTTAAGAGTAGAAAATAATGTCAAATGTAAGTAACAAAAATTTGTTTACAAAGAGGCTGTCATTTCAGTAAGGCTGAGAAAACGGGAGGCTTAAACGGAAGATACAGTAGGCAGAAATGTTGTTACATTACAATTGAAATGAAAGTATTACTGCATCTGCAACAACCCATGGTAAGATCATTACTCTGTCATTACTTACAGATTCATGCATACTTGACAATAAATGGACTTAAAAACATACAGAAATGTTGTAAAACTACAGTTTTGATTAAGGAACACAGAAAAAGTATAGACTGCCTCAATGAAACATAGCATACTTCAACAACAGAAAGAAAGGATGTCACTCTCACCTTTTGCACTTTTATTAGATTTCCTGATACTGTCACTGGTGGGAAGGGGAAGCCAATAAAAACCTACTCAGACACAATTGGTTAAGGCAGAAGCTTTACCTGGGCTGGCAGCAGAAATGACATGTAAGAACAACTGACACAGGTGACAAATGTGGCCCAGGGGAACTCACCTCATTCCAGCTTTCAAAAACTTTTACAATTATTGATGAATTAAAAAAAAATAAAATCAGTCTCAGGTACCTTGAAGGTGAATATTACCCTCTTTTCCAGTGTTGATAGACACTTCCTTGACCTGAAACAGATGAAGTTATTTTACCTATTCAAATGGGAGGTGGGAAAAGGTTATTTTCAGAAAAGTGCAACACAATTAAATAAGGGTTAATTAATGTGACCTAAGTGGCCTATGTTCCAAACCTCTTCCTTTTGAAACAGATGTCACAGGGAAAACTTCCTAGCAGCTGGTTTAGCAAAACAGTTGAAAAGGGGAGGGAGAGTAGGGTGCAGGGTGACTGGAAGGGCTGTGCCAGCCCCCTGTGGTGGGAGGGACCTCCTGTATAGCACCATAATTTTGTGTTATGTCTCAGGTCAGGGCTTCCCTGACACAAGAAGAAACTGCTGATAAGGTCCATTTGGCAGTAATGGGAGCTGCATGTCAGAGGCAGACTCCAAAATGAACCCGAATATCTGGCACTGAGTTAATTGTCCTGGGTGATGACAGCTTCACAAGACTTTTGTCTGATCAAATGAAAGCACTTATTGTGGGAAGGGAGCTAGAGGTAGCCAGATCAACATTTACCTAGAAGACTATATTTTGAAGTTTTCATGATTTTGAGATAGCATTATAGCATGCTAAGAGTATTATTTTGGGAGGGTTAAGCCTATTAATTTATCTTGCCTATATGAAAGGCAAGAAAGGCTCAGCAAGAAAACACCTTCTTAGCCTCACCCATCTGCAGTAAACCTGCCTTCATGATCTGTTTAGCCATTTCATAGTATTTCTGGAGATTGCAGACTGACAGCAGAACAGGCACCAGGTGCTGCTGCTGGATTTCTCTAACAGGAGCTGCTTGCTCTGATTCTTTGCGTTTGCATAAGAGTAGCTGCATCTTGATCACTCAGTGGAGAAGACAATCTGGAAAGTCAAGGGCACTGGATCAGCTACCCCCACACAGGGAAGGCAAACAGGGACGGTTACTGCTTTCATCCTTTTCACCCTGTTTTAATTAACACAGTGGGAAGAACCTCCTGACAGGACATGCAGATTTGTGTCCCTAAGCTTGTGCTGTGCTAAGAAGCTTTTTGTATACCTGCACAGATCCCTCAAAAAGTGCTAACATTGAGTGAATAATCCTTCCAGCAGAGAAAACAATAAATAAAAAAAAAAAAAGTGCCACTGTATCTGGTGGTAGTCAGTAAAATTAGGATCACACAACCATATGAAGCATTGGAGGTCAATTTTCTTCTGCCACTGCGTGAGTAAATCGAGTCCCAGTGCTGGCAGGAAGGCTTCAAGGCATGAGAAACGGGGCTGCCACAAAGGAAAGATATCCAGGCTTCCTCTCTCTGCACACACATCCTCTTCCAAGTCAAGTAGACTTGGTCAACAATGGAAATAATAAGTCTTCTCTTCCTTTTGTGTTGTTATTAGAACATGTTTTAGAAATTCACATGACACTTTTTACTTTAAGTGAGCAAACTTGGTCTCTCTAAGCTGGCCAAAACAGCCAACACACAGAAATCACAAAAACTGTGGAATCAAAATTGGCACAAGAACACAGAAATTTTTTTTAAATGTCAACAGACAGCTCCTTTAGGCTCTTTCATATATATTCAAAAGCAATCCACTATTACAATTCCAAGATATCATTCCTTACTTTAGAGAGCAAGCACGTGAGTCACGACCTTCCCATAGATAAGGAAGACATAAGTAGCTTCAGGAAATATCATAACAGACCATTGTTTAATACAGTTGGTAAGGTGGGAATAAGACAAGGAGGTAAAAGCTGATGTTCTCTCAAGAGACTACATTTTTACATCTTTAAAATGCTTTTTTTTTTTTTTTTTTTCATCCTGTAGTATCTGCAAAACACTGTTTACCCCAAGTAAAGCACTGGTAATTAATTAAAGACAGAGCAGAACTTGGCAATTCAGTAGCATCACTAAGAGGTGGAACAGAGGATCTGGGACCTTGCTAAGCTGGTGCAAAACAGCATGAAACCTTTGCAAGTCTGAAATTCACTGTCTTTTTTTTTTTTTTTTTTTTTTTTTTTATTTAAAAAATAATTTTTTTTTTTTAAAATGTTGCTGAGGTGGATACACTTAAATCACTTCTCTATGTCACATGGACTTTGGTGTTAAGTAGAAAAATGCCTCTTTCCAAATCAAATGGGTCTATTATTTTGGAGTGGAGCTGTAAAAATCAAAGAAGCAATCAAACCATTTCTGCATGCTCTGACTGCAAACAGAAAATGGCAGTGTGGCAAGAATAAAGCAAAATCAAAGACAGAGAAAAGCTGAATATCTTGTTGAAAAGCTGTTCTGAATAAGCTTGTAGAGGCTTCCAACAGAGATATTTGCCATTAGGATGTGGGACTTTGCCACATGAGCAGCACTGGCTCCCCAGCCAATGTTTATCAGAAAACTGAAAGGTGAGGATCAGAAGGAAGGTAGAACGGGGATGTGTGAGCTGGGGAGCACGCCCCAGTGCAGCTCATGCCTGACAGGTGCTGTCCTCCTGCTGCAGTCACCGTGAGAAATCCCTACCAGCAAATCCTACCAAAACACTGCACGTGGAAACAGAGCAGCGAAAAGCGCCGCGGGTGGCAAAAGTAGGGAGCCCTGCAGGCAGGGATTGTGTGCGGGCTCCCACCTTAGCAGACCAACAGCAGTACTGTGGTCGCCTTTCGGACCCCCGGCACCCACAGCGCCGTGAGCCAGGGGCGCGGCTGCCTTCCCCTACAGCTTGTTGGTTCAACACCTTTGCTTTAGGTCTTCGCACCTGGGAGACCTCTCGCGGCTCTAGCTCCAGGTCGCATCCATGGAACAGTAGAAGCCCTGTCGGTGCAAGACCGTAGAAGGTGCCACGGTTCCACACGGTCCCGCCGGGCGGGGAGGACAGCAGCGGGAGCGAGTCCTCCCGCTCGCCCCTTCCTCAAGACGGAGACGGGCACCTCCTCCCCTTGCAACCGGCAGGAACCCCCCGCTCGCCCTCCCTCTTGGGATGGAGCTGGACCGACGGCACCTCCCCGCCTCCCCGCCCTGCCGTGCCGTGCCGTGCCGTGCCGTGCCCGGGGCTGCCCGCGGGCGCGGCCCGCTCCCGCAGCGCGGGCGGCGCTCCCGGCGGGGCCGTGGGCAGCGATCCTGCGCGGAAGGCGGCGGCCGCCCCTCGGCAGCGGCGTGGAGGGACGGCGCCTGCTCCTGAGTCAGCAGCGGCCAGGAGGCGGTGGCCGCACCTCCCGCCCTGCCCGGCCCTGCCCGGCCCGGCCCGGCCCGGCCCCCGGCACACAGCGCCCGCGGGAGGCAGCGAGGAGGGCGGCGGGGCCGCGCCGGCTCCTGCCCTCCGCTAGGTAGGGTCGCCAGGAGGTGGGAGCGCCGCCGCGGCCTGGGCGAGGCTGGGGAAGGAGCTGTGGCACGGCTGGGAACGCCGGGCTGGAAGGCTGCGGGACAGCGATGAGCCACCCGGTCTTCCAGGCAGTTCTCCTTCACTCCTTGACTCCCGCGTCTGCTTGAAGCCAAGTGTGTATCCTGTGCGACCTGTTAGGCCGGGAGCGTGGGGAGATACAGCAGCGGGCTGCTCTGGGGAAACGTGTGGGGGGGGGCAGATAGATGTATTTATTTATGTACGTGTAGAAAAATAAGTATTTATGTATGAAGGATCAGTTTTGATAGGGTATTTCTTAGGTGTTCCTGTGCTGTGTCTGATTCGAGATGAGAAATCGTAGCTTTATGTTGTTCTCTCTGTGTATGTATTTATTGATATTTATGTATCCAAGGATTGTAAGAATATTACTCTCGCCAAGCTGCCCTCCAGTCTTCTGTCGAAGTGTGTTTTTGTTACAGCCCTGCAATGTATTTATGTGCCTGCTGAGAATGGTGCTAATGTGTAGTATGTTAGATTGCATTCTGAGCAGTAGAACAGAGCTTACACAGGAGAAAGCACTATATGTGATTTTTGTATCAATGCAATTTTGGGTGTTATCTCCATTATGGTTGCTATACAGAAACATTTCCATCCTTCTCCTGACCCCCTTCAGGTGCCTATTGCAGAACAGCCAGATAGCTGAGGGAACAAAATGAAATGCAAACTGGTTTGCCCTCTCTTCCTCCTTTTTCTGTTTATACTGTAGGAACACCTTCATGTTCCTCACACTGATTGCATGACAAGATAGTGGAGTTGATATATTAAACTCTTTGGGTTCTTTATTTGTTTTTGCCTTTGCAATGTCTTGTAGTTGGAGACTGATCCTCAGCCACACAATTTTGAGAGATGTTTGTTTCATGTATCATTTAAGTGTCATGTAAGTATCCTTGTGTTTGACAAGATTTGACTGTTGCAGTTTACGTTTCACAGACATTGCACTGAGCCAAATCTGAATCTCTAAAAACCTAGTATAATACAGAGTTAATAGGTCTATACTCATTTTGGTAGCTTAGATGATGGGAGGTCAGCTGCTCAGCATGTTGTGGGTCTGAGTGGTGCAGGTAAAATGAGAGTGGTGTGTACAAGCTTCTTGGGCTGATGCTTTTTCCTAAGCACAAGGCAGTGGAGAATGCAGTATAGTCTGTATTTTACATTATTTAAGAAAAGTGGAATCATGGTCATGGTGGTCTGTGGAGGATGCTGTGTGCAGGGGTTGCTTGCCCAGTTTAGTCTTTTCCCCACCATTTCCTTTGGGGAATGCTGTGGTAGAGGGCTGGACGAGTGCTTCTGTAACACTTCTGAAAACTTCAGGTTCCACAGAGAACATATGTAACTATTAATCTGCTTCATCTTCACTAGCTGTGTATCAGTGAGCTGTAATTCTGTCGATTTTAACAAACTGCATGAAGTGACAAAGTTTTGGTGACCTGGAGATGCTATAGTTTGGTTTTAGCTTTGCATAGAGCTGACCTCTCACCTCTTTGGTTTTGGATGCTGTCTGAGCAGGCTGCTAATTTCAGCACGGAAATGGAGGCGTTACCATGGACAAGTTTCTGAACCTGCTAGTGAAATTTCCATCAGAAATGCTTTAAAAACAGTTTATTTTCTCTCCTACCCATGTGTAAAGGCACAATATCTATTTCAGGTGGAGTCTTTCTGACTCTTTCCAGCTGTACCTTCTGTAATGCTGGAGAAGGCTTTCTGTGGGCTTCCACACATACCGGTGGTACAGATTTGCGTACAGATCTTTAATGTAAGGAAGTGTGTGGGAAAGGCTTATGTATGGTAGTTTTGATACATTAGTATGCTAGGTACTAAATGTATATCCTTAATGGAAAACCAGTGGTTAAAGGTAGAGCTGTGAACAAGTCCTGCATATCTAGCAGTCTCCAATTTCCGGACAGTGGAGAAGGCAAAAACCATTGTAATGGATATTGTACCCATAGGGAGAAATCCTTTCTACTGTCAGGCAGTTAGCTTTCAATTTCTGTCACAAGGTATCTTTCTGTACAAATTTATAATCTAATTTAACAGCAGATATAGTTGCTTTTCCAGTTAAGCATCTAATCTCTTCCTGAGTGATGCCAGGGTATGACCACTGAGTATTTTTCAGGATGATGTGACTTTGTACTGAGCAGATTGGAATTGAGTCAGTCCAGTTGGAGATAATATGAATGTGGTTAGGCTAGTGCCAGTTTTCAGCTAGTTAATTTTGATGAAGAGGCAGTTCAAAGGTAGTTTTCTGTCCTGATGCATTTTCTTTGATAAATCTGTCCTCTCTACCGTTTGTTGATTGTTTTGCGTGTTGCAAGAAGGTTCCCTAGTAAAATACAGATGGATTTTAGAGAAGTAAAATGTACTCACTTATCTGAGATTGTGCTCCAGAAGTTTGCATCTTAGGGGAGTCTGTGTTTGCGCATGTGCTTTAGCCATTTATTACAGGCAAATAATTTCCTGAACAGCAAAGTTAATTAAAATTTCTGTAAAGTTGTGTCTTGAGGTCAAAACCTGTTTTTTTCAATGTCTTTTCCCTGTACCTCTGCATTTTTTTGCCATGCTCTTTCTACAGACTGGACTGATTTCACAACACATGAGCTACCATCTTCATTATAGAATCTGGACGGCACATTTTGGAAGGTTTGAGCCTAAAGATGTTCAAATTTCAGTTTTGCCTTCTCTGGCCTAGCTTATTTTACAAAAGTCACGAGAACCTTCTGGCAATCAGTTTTTCTCTGGTTTAAATCAATGAATGGCTTAAAGGGTACATAAGTGAAAAAATCTTTCAGGCAAGATTTTTCTCTACAGGAAAACAGACTAACAATGAGCATGAAAACTTGCCACTGTCATGTGGGTCAAAAGACTTCCCCATGTCTAGAAATGGATTTGCCACATCCAACTGCTCTAAAGATTTCTTCTTGAAGGTGATAAAATAGCAAGACAAATGGAGAGAATGTTGCTTCATCTGGAAGATTTAGGCTTTTCTGGCTATCTGCTGTTGTACATGCCCCTTACGCAAGCTTTTTTTTCCTGCAGTGTGTGTTGTTGTATCTCAGGCAGTCACTGGGTGTTCAATACTCTAATCTCAGAAATGGTCAATTAACTTAGTTGAAATTAATACTTCTATGTCTTGATCCAGTCTCTGCCAATTAATCTGTGAAGAGCTTTGAATGCTTTCATAAATTAGATGCACCTCTAAGTCTTATTTTATCACACGATTGCATGATACAAAAAACATTACCTAATATCTTAGTGCATCCATTTGACTTCAAGTCAGACTTATTTCTTCTAGTATGTGGTGCTTTGTTCATTAAGTCAGAAAGCTTGCATCTCCTGTAAGGGAAGTGAGTTCAGAGAACTTCTACAGTAAAACTTAAATTTTAATGTAGTAGTTTTGCACTGTCTTTCTCCATAGTGTTTGCATTGTGAGGGCTGTTAGTGTCATTAAGTGCAGCAAATTGTGCTGGACAATAATGTTTTTGCAACTCTTTCTGTAGCTTGTGTTGCTTTGGTTGAGGTTACAAACTTGGGGTTTTTTTTTGAGACAACCTCATGTTTTATGTGACAGCTGTCCTCTACATTTCAAAGATAGAATGTGCCTGCAATTTCCTTTGAAGTATGATCATCTCTATATTCAGCACTTCTGAGATCAGTGTCTGGGGTTCCTGCATAGTACGTTTGAAAATTTGGTCTCCAGTCTGCAAATACTAGCTTTGATACTTAAGTAGAGATCACGTTACATGAAAAGTCTTTTTTTTTCCCCCTTTTTTAAAGTATTAGATACTAAATAGCAGTAGTAACAATTGCAACAGTTCAAGTTATCATAAAAGAGATCTCTAAATCCTAGCACTGACTTAAATGTGGTCATGACTTTGTCCCATGAAGATTTTCTTTTAAAAAAAAAGGGCAGTATTTAAAGTCTTGACCAATGTGTGTAAACTATGAATCTTGTAGGTTTAAATTGTGGAATTTTCTCTTTGTTAGAGAGAGATTTTTTTTTTTTTTTCCTACTGAAGATTGAAATTTTTTCAATAATTACTGTAGTTCAGAAAATGGCACTTTAAGAAAATTTTTCAAAATCCTAAGAACTGCAATTCAGCAGTGGTGTTTTGAATCAATTAATTTTTCCTTTTAGTTTGAGGATGTAGAATATAAGTGGAAAAAATTGCTTTTAGTTGCAGCTCAGTGCTATAGCAAAGCTTTTCGTAGTTTTAGTACAGTAATTTTTAACCTTGAGCAAGTGCAAAATAAATACATTCTTGTGTTCTTTGCAGTTATGTGATCCAGATTAGACTATCTATGTGAGAATCTTTCTTCCACCTCTCCTTTTAATTTCCTCAAGTGTCTCCAGAAGCATCAATCTGCACTTGCATATTATTCTTGTGCTGCACAGGGATGCCTCAGTACCTAGCCGGAACCTGCTGTGCCATGCAGGTGTGTAATTGCTTGTGCTAGAATGGCACTTGAAGGAACCAAGCAGTTGACAGACCACACAACTTTGTCACACAGGCCTTCAGTCAGGAGTAGCAAATTTGGGTTCTGCAAACTGAAGAAGATTTCTACCAACTTCTCTGCAGTTATACATATCTTTTTTGGAGGCAGTTAGCTTTTTTCCATACAAAGCTCAAAACTGGTGTTATGTACACCCATTGGATAGTTTTCTTCTGTCACCTGTTTTCTTGTTGGAAAAAAGTGGTTAAATACTAGAAGATAGATAGACAGACAGGTTGATTCTGAACTACCCTTTGTGGCAGACTAAGGCTAGATGAAAATTCAGAGGATTATGCAAGGTTGCTTTGTCTTGCTTCTGCTGTGGAAGGCACAAGATACCATCTTGTTCTTTCAAGATCTCACATCATTTTCATTGTGAAGTACGTATTTGAAGATTGCCTCACTTATTAGTTCTCTCTCTCCTCTATGTCCTTGTGAAAGCGGAAAACAAATGGAAACAGTGTAATGGCTTAGAGGAGCTGTCCAACAGTTTGACTGCCTTCTGAAGAGAGGTATTTTGATGTTTCTGGCCTGTTGTGGGGAGAGAAAGGCTCTCAGGTGTCTAGTGATCTCACTCTGTGCTACTAATTTTCCTAAGGGTTAGTTTTTGATTAGCCTTCCCTTCTTCCTGGGCTGTCTGACCTCAGGGCTATGCAAATGTTTGTATTGAAAATTAAGTAGTAACAATTGTGAAACATGTCAATCCTGACACTAATTATTGTGGTTTTATACTTTGGCAGAGTAATTCCACCATTCATTGGTGGCTTCAAAATCTTTCCTTCTTGTCAATAGTTCTGGACCCCATATACCCCTGCTAACTCTCTCAGCTTTAGGATTTCCATTATTGTTTGCGCTCTCCACCACAGTTGTAATGAAGGCTGCTGAAATCTTGTAGAATAAAATTGCTCTTTCTGTGCAGCACTGCACTTTTCTCTTTCTCTGTCTGTTTGGTGTCACTTAGCAGTTGACACCTGTGGTTACCAGTGGAGCTAGTGGAGCATGTATCCAATCCCCAGTTTAACATGGCAGAATATGTTCAGCTATTCAGTTTGTTGTTTTATCACCATTAACTTGCTGTTTGTGCCCTGGACCTGACTAAGGAAATTGATACAGAGTTGGGATGTAATACCAATCTAATGTCAGCCTTCACTAAGACCTGCAGGAGACCCTCTTAATAGAGCAGAGAGACATTTGCAATTATAGCTATATCCTGCAGCTGCAATAACATTCCATCAGAAGTCATGGTTTTGTTTTCAAGTATAGGTACCTATTGTTAGCAAATTGTGTGAGAGGAAGGTGACATTGCACAGGTCATAAGTGCTGATGACTCTTTAATATCTTCCACATCTGCTGAAGGGCTTGAAAATAATCTCCTTTATTTAGATGCGTAACTTGTGGTGGCTTTGATGATGTGTGTTCATACAGCATGTGTTGTTCTTAGAAGTCCTAGTGTCTGCACGTGTCCTGAGCTTTTCTCTCTGTTACTAGGGACAAATGCTACTGGCATGAAGTTTAATTTTCTTTCTTTCTGCAGTAGTTATGCAATGTTAATGCTCAGCTATTAAGTAACTATCTCAGGTACTAATGTAGATATCATAACTGATAAAATAACTAATTTGAATTCTTCATGAGAGGTGGGTTTCCTGAAGGATTGTCTAGTATTACATTTAATAGAAATGCTGACAAAGCCCACTTTATAAAGGAAATGCTGTCAATTCAAAATCGGAGTTTTGCTTTAGTGTGGGTTGAGGTTTAGATGCTGTTTCAGTATTTCTTTTGCTGTGTTCCCTAGCTGTGCTAATGACCAGAAGGGCAAGGAGGCAAGGACCTCCTGCCTACCTTTTCACTGATGTCAGTGTGGCTGGGCCCAGTGTTCAGGGCCCTCATTCTCTTGGAGGTTCCTGCTGCCAGGCAGTGTTCTCTGACTGCCTTCATTACACCATTTGTCTGTGTCTCTGATTTTGTTGTCATGCAGGGATTCTGCTATACCTTCTGTGGAGCACCAGCATACTACCTTATGCTCTATTTGCAGTTCTGCAGCTGCAGGATTTGAATGTATTCCCAGATGCAGGTAATTCAGTCTGTACACGTTCTTACTGCTAATGTCCTGGTGTAGGAAGTGGCAATATAGTTCTGCTTGGCTGACCCCTTTCTCTCTCTATGGGAGAAAATTACTTGAGTCTGCATTAAAGCTAAGGTGAACCAAAATGCAGAGTGAGATTTGGTGTGGAGGAGAAGAGGAATATGGAGGTAATTCCTTTCATTGGATATCTGTTGTAGTTCATGTGTTATGTGGTCCTCAACAGCAACTTCATATGTTTAAAAGGTCATGAAGTCAAATTGTTTGTGTAGAGGGTTCAGTTCAGACTTCTCCCTTATGCTGTTGCCTAGATCACTGCCAAAAGCTGCTAGCTGGAACAGAAAAATACTTTTCAGAGTAAGGCAATATATGTATAATACATACCTGTTTCGATCATACCTGCTGCTCAAGGTTGCCATCCCTCTTCTAGTTAAGAGTGCAAGTCAGACTTGAACTTTTAAGAGCCAAGGAATGCCAAAGTAATTACCAGCAATGCTGTCTGCTTGTGTTACAAAAATAAAAGGCGTTGTGTTATATGTGAAGGAGAGAGATTCAGCTAGCAAATTAATTTTGTGGCCTTAGTTATTATTAACTGCTGGGATCTCAGAACTGGCCACCTTAAATTTTAATGTGTTTTGTGTTTGTGTGATGAAACTTGCACTTGTGTGGAACAGAAAAATACCATGGGGAAGATAAGAGGAGCATGACATGCACACACTGCAGCACTGTTTGCTGTTTTAACAGTTTAAGAAGGCGCGCAGTGTCAGCTTTGTTCTCATCTGTGGGTCATAAGCTGTGCGCTGAATTGTGACTGGGTGTGCTTTGTGTCTGAGCTTGATCCTAATATCATGAAGCACAAGCTAGTGTTGCAATGAATGCAAGTTCTTTTATTATGTGGAAATTAAACATCAATAGATGTGGAGCCACAAAGGAGCATTGGAGGACACAGTGCTGCTTTTGTGCATTCACTGTATCCCCACATGATGTGTCCCATCAGGATTCAATGTAGATTCTACATGTGGTCCAAAGTCTAGCATTTTGCAGCTTTGTTAAATCGTGTTTACTTAATATAAATTAAAAAAAAAAACCACCCCAAAACCAAAAAAACATAACTAAAAAAAAATCACAAACAACAACAACATAAACCAAACCAAACAAAAACCCAAACAAACAAACAACCCCCACAACAAAACAAACAACCAAATCCACAACCATCTGCTTCAAGGAACTTTTGCTTCTGAACCCGGAACAAGTAACATTGAAAAAGTCTGGATCATTTGCACCATCTCTCAGTGTTTTCCTTAGTGTTGCTAAAAGTTATCATGTGGACTCCTCAGGAAACTGTTCTGTAGTAAAAAGAAGCTGCTGCTTGTCTTTTTTTAGTGACAGTGAGATTGTAAAGTTGGCCTTGCAGAGAAAAAGGCCCATAAAATAATTAAAATATTTTTCCATCTCTGGTTGTGGTTAATTTTTACCTCGTGATATTCTGATACCAACCCTGATGCATTTTTCCTTAGGCTAAACAACTAAAAGTCTCTCTTAGGCATCTGGTCTGTTTCTGGGAGTGGATGAAGGTTACAGCAAATGCACAATATCTCAGAAACCTTGATCTGCAATAGTAAGTTCTTCTGCAAATCGTGGGGTTTTTTGTGGCTAAAACTTTTCCAAGTCTAGGAGGATTTCCATAGAAACAAGAAGGGTGTATGAAGAATTGTGATTTTACCATAATAATCTCTTCTATCCCTCAAGGATTAAGTATTTGGGATTAAGTATTTGGATTAAGTATTTGTGCTAATAATATGGGAATATTTAGTAGGAACATAGTATACTTCTGCTACTCTGGTTTTTTCTCAAAACCCACAGGAACATTTCAAAAACCATTGAAAGATGAAGCCTGTAAAAATTGTATGCTCTGTACATCTCTCTGGTTTAGTTTGAATGTCTGAAATAAAGCACCAAATAAAAATTATCACTTTGAGTAACATATTAGAATAAATGTGCATGGGCAAGTGTATGCTTCTGGATTCAGCTTAAGGAAAGGCTTAAAAAGCCATCTTTTTTCAGCTGGAGATCCCTGTCTGCATAACTGAGATCTGGATAAATGGACTTTCTCATGGTGAGGGTGACTATATACTGTCAGATTGTCCAGGAAGGTTGCGGAGTCTCCATCCTTGGAGATACTGAATATGTCTGGACATGGTCCTTGGGAGCCAGCTCCAGGCTGCTCCATTTGAGCTGAGGGGTAGACAAGGTGACTTAGAGAACTCCCTTCCAACCTCAACCATTCTGTGGATGGGTTGTGTTAATCTCCCTAGTCCATTTCAGTGTGAAAGTAAACAATTCCATTTGCTTCACCTTTACCCTGAAATCAAAAGACAGGGCTCCATGTTGTGGGACCTTCAGGACTGATACTTTCCCTCTTGTGCAAAAGTGCTTATTTCTTTTTAGTTGCCAATGATTCTGTACCCTGACACTTCTCAGTGGCTATTTCAGTGGCTGCATAAGTGGGGCATTTAGAATTACTTGGCTTAAAGAAAATAAGAACTTTTGGTTTTTTGTCTGCTACAAAACTGAATAAGATTATAGTTGATGGAAGGACAGAAGAGCAATTACGTAATGCAAGAAAGCAAAAAATGGCCCTGTTGCTGAAAATTTTGTATCATAGAAGTAGTACCTGGAAGCATCCAGATGACCTTTTGCTCTTTCTCAGGTCAAGCCTTACTAAATTTGCAGCAGAGGAGCACAGCTCCTCTGACAGGAATTGCTTCCTGAGAGAACATCTACCTACATATATTAAAATAGCATCACCTTAGAAGTAATATAATGATGTGTGTGTGGTTTTTTGTTGGGGTGTTTTGGTTTTTTTATGTTTGGAGATAATTTTTCTAATTGTGCACCATAGGAGCAGATTGGGAGACCAGCTTACTCTTCACTAAGGCAGCTGCCTTAGGAAGGAGATTTCCATTTATGTTGGATAGAACAAAGGTCACAGAAGTCAAGTATCAGGCTTTTGGAAAGTTAGTAATAGTCTCTCCTAGTTTTACAGGAGCTTTCCCAAAGCCTTTATCGTTTTGTACTTGTAACAGTCCTTGCTCTAGTCATGTTCTATAGTAATTTTGTTTGTATTTTGAGCAAAGTTAGTGCTTGTACTATAGACTTGACTAGAAATTGTCAGAGTCCAGTATTCTTTGACCAGGGTCATTTAGATATTCCATGTGTAGAGCATGCAATGTCTAATATCTGTTTTAATTATTTGGAGATACTTACTGTGACATGGGATTTCTGATTTAGTGAAGCAATATTAAGTATGCTGAAATAACAATAAAATATCCATTATACTTGGCAAAATGTAGCAGTGGCAATATACAGTTCTATCTCAATAATATCAATATGATTCCCATCGCTGGTTTCTATAATCCCAGCATCACAACATTTAGCATCCTCTGCCACTAGAATGGAATATATGGGTTGAAGCTAGCTCAGGCCCATTGCTGTCTTCTAAATGTTTTTGTTAGTTGTTTAGTTTTTATACTCTGTATTGAGTTAAGCCACATCTTTACTTCACTTGTGCTGGTCTGGCTTCCTAAGGGAGGCAGCCGCACTCTTTAATGAACTAACTGGGGGAAATATTTACTCCACCAGTTGATCCACTCAGCTGTTGATAGAACTCCTAACATCTAAAATAAATATCTAGCCCGTTTCATGTTGAGATAAATACATGTCTTGCTTTGGAAAAGCTGTGGTCAGTCACAGAAGTGCAAGTTGCAGATCAGGGTCCAGTTCTGTGTGTGATTTAGAAACATGCCATCTATAAAGGATCCCTTTTTGGGGAGCAAAAGTCCAACTGCTGAGCTGCTAGGGTTTCTACTTAAGCTCAGTCAGCCCTGGCTAGTCTAAGTAACTTTTCCTTTTGCAAGGGAAAAAGCCTAGACCATTTTTCATCATATAAAATTTTATGTGGCAAGGAACCTGCCAAGAGCAGCCAGTTAGCAGCATTTCTATCATATGTAGATACAGGCAGCTGAAATATGGAAGTCACATAATGAATGTGTGATACTCTGCCTTGAGAAGGGCTGTTCACTGAAAGAAACACTATCTGTGTTTTAATTTACAGAAGTGTTGCTTGGTCAAGCATGCATTTAGGATCCTTTATGTGGGGGGAGTCTGGCTAAGCTAGTTTTTTCCTTGCATGAGTCTTGCATGAGTAATGTTGCTTTGAACTATTTATTCCTTACATCTATTTGTTGCTTAGGATAGCTTACTTGGAGAATTTAGTGTCCTGACAAGGAATGTCTCCCTCAAAATTCTGGAGTAGTGTCTGCTTGCATTGCCTTGATAGCTGGAAAGAATAGCTTGAGCACTGCATCAAAAGCTGATTTAGCACTGCATGATTTTAGCATTAATGCTAAATCTGAGAGAATGCTGTCTGTGATTCCTCAGTTAAAAGTACTTGCTAGTTTAAAGTCATAGCTAAACCAGGGTCTGGATAACTGCAGACTCTGCATATTTGTGGGGTTTGAGATACTGGAGGTCAAGAGTGCAACTGTTTCTGGGATGTTTCTGTATTTCTAGAGAAAGAGATTTCCAGGTGGGTAATTTGTTCTGTATTGTCAGTGTGCCTGATCTACTATGTCATCCATGCAGAAGTCAGGAAGTAATGAAAAAACCTGCATGTCACCTGTCTATTGTCTTTAACTGTGATGTTCTAATTAATGCTCACATCTGACCTATTTTTTCCTGTGCTGTCTGTTTCAGTGCTTGATGGCCACAGCAGGGCACTAAACAATATCAGAAAAAAGCCTCAGCATTAAGACCTATAATTTCCACACGACTGGCTGGAAAACCAGTCGTCGCTGCCTTCCTGGTTCAGCATGGCATTTGGACCTGGTGTTCTTTGCCTGTTCCTATGGACAATAACAGGTAGGAGTACTCCTGTGTCTGACTCATCCAGACAGAACAAGTGAATTAAAGCTCCTTGAGTATGTATACAGCTGTGAAATAAATATGAATAAGGTGAAAGCTGGGAAATCCTGTGACGACTTAGTGTAAAAAGCTTTGGTAAGTTACAGCTTCATAAGCTGCAGTGGAGGAAGGCAGTTGTGAGTAGATGTTTGAAGCCAATTTCAGCACGCTGTTTTGGGGTAGATGCATGAGTCAACAGTGGCTGGTGGGAGAGTTCAAAGTTTTCCCTCCTTTTCACTTGCAAGAGAACAATTGAAGAATAATGTGTTGCTTGCATTGCATTGCTACATTTTTGTTCTGAATTATCATAAGGTGGTTTATATATGTGTAGTGTGAGTGCACTGGTTCACATCTCTCACCTTGTCATGCTCTCTACAAACACATCTATCCTTAAAAAAACGCAGGAAAAGTCTTGCAAGTTTCTGCTTCAGCCACAGAAATAGGTAATTTATTTCCCTAACCAGAAAGATGAAGAGTGATAATTAATACTACCTCTCTCAGAGAGAGACTTAATCTGGTGCAGATAGTTTTTATATGGTAACTGGATAAAAATATACTAAGAAGTGAGGTTTATTTCCTTTAAAAAATATTTTTTGAGTTCTATCTCTGCTGGTAGTAGTAGTATCTTTATTAGCAGAAATTGAGAAAATAATGCACCACTGTCTGACTCTCACTTCTTGTAGTATAAACAGAATGGGCTGTTTCATGAAGGAGAGACTTGCTTAATGCGCTGAAGCTTAAATTGACTGCTGAATCTGGAAAACTTGAATGAAAGGGAATGCATATTAGCCTACAGGTGAGGGAGATAGTCATTAACTATGTGTGAGCTTGTAGGTGATGTTCAAGCTAGTCATCAAGATCACCGTGAGGATCTCATAGTGCCAAGCTTTTTGAAGAGAACATGGAGCTGAGTGTTTTGTTGCTGTAGTGAAGCAGTGTGACTTTTGTAAATAAAATCCTCTTCTATGAGATACTGAGTACTTGCAGTAGGGTCTATGCTATCATCTTAAAAAAAAAAACAAATCCACAGCAGCTTCAGCAAAAGACAGTAATGTGGAGTAAATAGTGAAATTTGCCTGTAGAGAATGGCACCGTTTCATGCTTTTGATAGTACTGTTAATTGTTAGCAGATTAGAACATCTTCCACATGCATATAGGAAGTTATCTGGTTTTAGTTGCAAATTTGCTATGCTCTCTTAGTTTTTCTGGGAACAAGACCATTGCTCTCAAAATCCTGGCTGTATGTCAAGCCTCTACCTGTATCTCAACTACCAGTTCACAGTGTTTAGAGAATAATATAATCTAATAGTTTAAATTATTTTCTAAAAATGTTGGTGTTTATTTCCATCTCAGTAATATGCATTATTTTAACACAATTAATAATAATTTAATTAAAATAATAACAATTTAATTTAAAATAATAAGAATTTTATTAAACTGGGAGGTTCCTGCTAATTTCCAGGATGCATTTGCTACAATGTATCAGTAAATATCTCTTCTAAGTCAAAAGGACTTCTTTTCAGTGCAGGCTTTAAGGTGAATTGACTGAGACTCAGGAATTTGCTAGATGTTCATTCTGCAGGTTTTTTATTCACATGAGCTTGTGCTTTTAAAGGCTACTTTTTCTTAAAAAAAAAACAAGTTATCCCAGCACTTGTTTTAATTTAAGATAATGAGAAAATTCATTTGATATAGGAAAGAAAGACTTGATTCTCCATCACTGAGAGAAGACAGAAACAACATCACTGATGAACAATGTTGGAAGGATATTGAAAAATATGTTCTGGTTCATTAAAAGAAATTGAGATGGGCTACTCTGTCCTTTTTAGGTGATGTTTATTTAGTTTTATTTCATGCATGACAGTTTTTGACTAATAGTGTTTTACTGCTTTTAATGAATGTGTGGGTTGACCTTTGCTGGCTGCCAGGCTCACAGCAAGTCACTCTGTCACTTCCATTTCTCAGCAAGATAGGAGAGAAAAATAAGATTAAAAATTCCATGGATTGAGTTTAAGACAGGTCATATCTCGTTCACGTACCAGTTACAGCCAAAAGCTGACAAAACTTGACTTAGTGAAGTTTATTTAATTTATTGTCAATTAAGCAGATCAGGATAATGAGAAATAAGAACTACTATAAAACACCTTGCCCTCATTTTTCTCATCTTTCTATATTCAACTTTACTCCAAATTATTCTTTCTTCTTTCCATGAGCAGCTCAGAGAGTCAGGGAATGAAGGTTGCAATTAGTTCATAATGCTTCCTCTCTGTTGTTCCTTTCTCCTCACACCCTTTCCCTACTCCAGCATGGAGTCTTTCCCATGGGCTCAGATTCTTAAAGAACTACACCACCATGGGTCCTGTTCACATGAAGGTCCTTCAGGAGCAGGCTGTTCCAGTGTGGATTCCCTGTGGGGTCACAGGCCCTGCTGGAAAATGTGTTTCTCTGTGGACTCCTCTTCATGGGCTTGCGGTTCAGGCCAGGAGCCTGCTCCAGCCTGGGTTTTTCAAAGGTTCACAATTTTCTTCAGGGCTTACCCACCTGGTTTAAGGTGGGGTCCTCTATGGGCTTCAGGGATAGGTATCTGCTTCATTGTGGAACTCCATGGACTCCAGCAGAACAATGAAGTAGTGCTTCACCATGGCTTTCACCACAGCTGCCAGGGAATCCCTGCACTGGTGCTGGAGTACCTCCTACCCCTTCTTCACTGACTTTGCTGTATACAGGATGGCTTTTCTCACATTTTCTTTACTCCTCTCTCCTGCCTGCTGCAGTTGTGCCAGACTTTTTGCCTCTTTCTAAAACCTTATCACAGAGGAGCTGCCACCGTTCCTGTTTGGCTCAACCTTGGCCAGTTGTGAGTCAGTCTTTTAACAAGTTCTGTCCTGACATGGGGCATTTTCTGGTGTCTTCTCACAGAGGCATTCTGGCAGTCCATTTACCCCTGTCCCCAACTACCAAGATGTTCCTCACAAACCTAATTGATACACATATCCACCATTGACTAAAGTTCATGCTTCTCAGGACACTTGAGCTGAGTGTAGTAATAGGTATGAGTGTGTACCATGCCTTTATCACTCAATATCTCATGCATTTTAAGTGATTGATTTCCAAAATCTCTGGATGCAGCTCCTAATTTATCCATATACACCTTCCTTAGAGTGCTTATTCATTTCACTTTTTTGAATCTATTCATTGATGAAAGCAGCATATCTTGAAATACATTTCAATTATTTTGGCTGTTAATTAATGTTTTTTTGCTAATGTATCAATTTCTTATTTCTCTATGAGAGAGAAGAGACACTGTTTTCCAGCACAGGCAAGTGAGCTTACTTTGCAACTGGGAGTTCAATATCTCGGAAACAATTAAGTCTAGCTCTCATCTTGAGCAGGAATATTCTAATTTGTCATTTGAAGCAGACCTTGCAAATTCTGCTGTTAAAATGCATTTCTGCAAATATTATGAATAGTGTTCTCATGACTGACTCTTGGTTTTGTCGTATTGTGTTGTGTTTGTGTTGTGTGCTTTGTTTTGAGATTAGCCACTCCAACAAAAATATAAGCAGTGATTGCCAGGTAATTGCAGTCACAGGTGTTGTGTCATCTAGTCTCCTGTTTTCAAGTCCATGTAGCCAGATGTAGATTATATGATCTCCCAGAATCCTTGATAGCCTTCACCAATGTTCTCTTCTTTACTCTAGCAGGTGTTCCTAAATATATTACAAGCCCTCAATTTTCAACGCATTTCACTACTACTGGTCTTGTAGAAGTTGTGCTATAACTACTACAAAATGGTGTAGTGCTTGATTACGATCTCTGGGATTACAGTGAGTTACGCCATATACCAGGTTAGTTCACATTGTCCATACCCCCATTGGAAGTAATCCGGTATCTCCTTGTGGAGGGATGCAGCAGTTGCAGCCATGCACCTACCCTTCTTTTTTCTTATTCTTTTTTTTCCCCTCTTCTTTTTAAATAGCACTTAGCTGGTTTATCAGCAACAAACAGGGATGATAATTCATGAAATGAAAACAATACTTGAAAAGGATCATCAGACCCACTGAACTAATTATGATGCCTTGACAGATTCTGGACAAAAGAAGTGTGAAGACTGCTGTAATGGCCATAAAGGCTTTGCAGATCATTATTTGTAGATATTTACTCTTGATAGCTTTTGTTATCGCATATGTATCTTTGTTTAAAGACCTGAGAGACAACCTCAGGGCAGCCTGCAGTAAAAGAGTGAAAAGACTTTAATGGTATGCAGAGATGTTAACTGCTGCTGGAGGAACCAGTGCAGTGACATTTCAGATGTTGAAATGTTCAGATGTCAGTGATACTGCTTTTCTGGTTTCAAGGACAGTACCTTCTGTAAGGCATTACCAAAGCTGATGGAATATAAGCCTTTTTCATCATTTATGATATGAAGTGTGCTTTGCAGACGTTTATAGCTCTGCTATGGAAATTATCTCTAGCTTGAAAATTGGAATTTTTTTACTTTCTTCTCTTAGATGACTGTAACTAAAAGTAAAAACTTATTTTAATTTTTCTTCCAGAAACTTATCAAAATTGTTTCAGTGTATTATAATGGTAGTAGGAAAAAACAAAACTTATTTTTTACTGATATGATGTATTTCATCTCAAAATTTACCAAATGAAGTAGAAGTTACTTGAATAGATTTTTATAAAGATCACTATGCCTAAAAACAGAATAGAGCTAGTTTGCTACTATAAGAAGTAGATGGAGCATATGGCGAGAAAACAGGGATGATCCTACTCTTACTTTAGCAAACTGCTATAGGATCCTCCATGCTCGGGTAGTTCAGAGGCTTTTAGGCTGTGAGAATAAGTGCTATACGGGCTCTCAATGTTGTGCTGCCAGCAGAAAGGTAATGGGCTATGACATTTCTTGGTGCAAGTCTGAATCTGAGCTTTTCTCTATTGTTGAACATTTCCTCTTAACACTTCTTTGTGCTGCTTCTTACAGTGTTTGCTGCTAGGGAAAGCAGAGTGCATAGTTCTTCCCTTGCAGGGCTTCCTGCTAGGGTGATGAGCTGTGATGACCTCAGTGTTAGTACACTGTCACAATTTTCTACTGACTGACTAAAGAATACTTGCTGCCAAATCTTGCAAGTGCTTATGGCTGTGTGAGCATGGGGGAGAGAAACTCTTAGGTTTCCATGTCCACTTGAGGAAAGGTCTCCAGCCAACTGCAACAGGGAAACAGCTATGTTCCCAGTGGGCTCTTCACATCAATGGACTTAGGCTCCAAGATGTGAAAGAGCAGAAGTGTGAAGCTCAAAGAAAGGTGTGGATGTTTCCTCATTAAAGGAGGGAATATCTTTAAAATGAAACTGTATTCCACACTGTGACTCTGTTAAGATTTTGTTAGGGGATGTGGGTTGGGAATTTTTTTATGGCAATCAGCTTGTCTGACTAGGTCTCTGGATATGTCAGTGTAGTCCTACTGTAGATGTAACAGGGTTCAGCTAAGAGGAAGGGAAACACTTTGCTTGCAGAAGTTTTAGGCTATTGACTCATGTTCTAGAGGGTTTTCAGGGCTTTTAATAAAGGGAATCAGTCTTCCTGTTGGTAACTTGAATGAGTTCTTCTAAACAGAGAATTGCATGATGCTGGTTTTTGCCATTCCTGGTCAGAATGGAAGAGGTTTAATTCCTGAGATCAGTTAACTAAATTGAAATAGCTGTGCTATGACCTCACACAGTAGGTAGTAATATAGCAGACTAAGTGACCTTTCATATTGCACACCTTCAGTAAATTTTCTGTAAATAAGAGACCTCGCTATCTCTGTTTTAGTCCACTGCAGACTGGAGATGAGATATAAGAGAATATGAAATTAGAGATCAGATCAAGTTCACTCTCAGTAGATCTTATGTTTTTCATGTGAACACACCCAGTGTGAGGCCAAAATAGCTTGATAAATTCATCCTTTCTTGCACACTTACTGCTACAATTCAACTCAAGTGCTAGATAAAGCAAGAGATTAAACTTCCATTACTTTAAGATTTTTTTCTGTTCCTTGTTGGGATGAAACCAAGGCCATCTGACATTTGCAAAAGCAGATAGCCAAGGTTTGTGGCTAGGTTGCATACTTGGGAGATCTTGATTCAAAGTCATGTATCATCTTAGGAATGTGGTGGACTTGTTTCTCTCTATGGCTAAAGAAGCACCATGAATTTTGAGGTATGTTGACTCTGCAGTGTGATAACTGATGTGTCAAACTGCAAGTAGTGGAGTGAGATTTGAAGTTGATTGAGGACTTGAAGTCTGGCCTCAGGTTAGAGCTATGGAGTGTCCCAGTTGTGTACGCCTGTCTCTAAAGCATGACCTATTGGTCATTCTGTTCTGAACAAATAAATAGTGAAACCTTCCGTTTTATTTTTTTTTTAACACCCTCTTCACTTTCTGTTTCAGGAATAAGTTAAAGAAGGGGGGTGATGAAAACAACCATCAAAGGAGCTTTTTGGCCTACACTGATAGTGCTGTTCCTAAAATATTCATTGTAATGATTTGTTACTGACCTGATATTATACATTTGCAAGCAGTCATGTTTCTTCTTTCCCTTTTTAAAGGCCTGTTACTCACTTCTCTACTGATTTATGGGATTAAATAAAGGCATATGAATTGCAAAAAGACAGTGGTTGAATGGGATGCCTGACTCCTATACTTCATTTTAACCCAGACTTTTTCTGGCTCCCCTGTTCTAAGTTGTGCAGACAACTTAAAGAAAAGACTTGTGATGACAATTCCGAGTCTCTGCCAGGGTCTTATGTTATTGGAGGTAAAAGGGAATGTAGAGAAAATGTTTATATGCAGCATAACAGAAAAAAATGCAGAAGTCTTGAGCATCTTCTGGGTACAGATACGGATACTTTATGTCTGGGCTATGTAAGAACAGGATAGGTTGTTTTAAGTACATATTTCCCTGGATAGATTTTTTTCACTGAAAGTGTAAAGTGGAACAGTCAACGGCATCCTAGCTCTGTGTGAAGGAGTAGCTGTAGTCAGAAAAATGGTACTTGAAGCTCTTTATCCTTTTTGTCAGCTTCCTATTCAGCCATACCTATTTGCATGTCATCAATCTTCTTTAAAATTTGCTTCATTTTATGTTTTTCCTTACCCCACACAGCCAGCTCTGCAAAACCATCATACCACTCTATCCCTCAATATATGGTGAAATATTTTTTTGTTTGCTTCATTTGTTTTTTGGTGCGTTTTTTTTTGTTGTTTTGTTTTGGTTTTTTTGCATTGAACTAACCTACTTTGCAAGCTTGACATTCTTCCCAGGCAGTTTGATTCCCCACATATATTTTGATAGCTGTATTCAGACCATGTACTGTGAAGGTGTGTGTACAGTTCAGCCCAGATGAGATAGTGCGGACTGTGATGTGGTACTGGACACATTGCATGTGTTGGAGAATCTCTGCATCTCATTCAGACCTAACCCCTATTGCCAGCCTGTTCCTACTCCTTGATTTCATTTTTCCTGACCTATACTGTTGTGAATAATGAGGCACAAAGCAGGCAAAGTCAGTTTTGTCTTCCATTCCTGTTAGCTCCACAGTGCATGATGGTCTTTGACTAAAAAAACCATGTTTGTTTTCATTCATTGAGATAACAAGTCCAGTTGAAAACCAAAGAGAATAATTTTCTGGTTTTACTCAACTTTCTTGAAACATAATCAGATTTTAGGGAGAAGAATTCTGAAGAGCAGTTATAACCAGGGAAAAAACACCTAGAAAAGATATTAAGATATCTTATATATAATATATATAATATATAATAGGTTGATATATGTAGTGACGCTGTCTGCTTGTCGTGGTTTGACACGGAAAGAGAATTTTTTCTGGAAGGAAGAGGTCAATTTAGATATTGACCAATTGAAAGTAGACACGCCTCTGAGAACACAGAGGGGTTGAAAGCAGAATTCCCAGGGGAACTCGCTCTCTTTGGTTCCGGTCAGCGTGCAGTGCAAACCTCCCCTGCCCAGCCACAAGCTGGGTCGGGGAGGGGAAGCCCCCATGGCCTGAAAGGTAGGCCCCAAGGGTGGAGGGACTGGAACCGGGCTGGCCCCTGCAGATGGAAGGGTGGAAGAAATCTGGGATGTCTCCATTTCCCCCTCCATTTTTTTTTTTTTCTTCTTGTTTGTTGGTGGAGACATCGCTGTGATCTTGTTGAAGGCTTGCTGCTGTTCAGGGCCCCAGTGGAAAGTGTCGTGGTTTGACACGGAAGAATCTGGCAAAAGCCACCTGGTTAGTTAACACCTGAGGCTCTACCAGTCGATTGGGTCCTGCCCCCCTGGGGCCGCCCTTTTCTAGGGTGCCATAGGTTTCTGGAGAAACTGGGGCGGGGGGGGGGGGGGGGGCAGAAACCTATGGCACCTAGGAAAGCTTGTGTTTCTCCCACACGATGAAGCTCCAGAACATCTACAGTATATCGATGATACCAATCCGGGCACTGGCATTGTGCCAGTGTCAAACCATGACACTGCTCCAGGACAATATAGATGAATGGAGACGAGAGATCTCTGAAGTTTGCTCTTGGGGAATAAGGTTTATTGGGGATGTAGAGAGGTCCTGCTTCGAGCTGCCAGATGCAGCACGTGGCAAGGCTTGAGAGGGTGTGGGAGGGGAGAGACAAAAGGATGCTCTAGGAGAGGGGGAGTTCCAAGAGGAGGGGAAGTTCCAAGAGACCGTCTGGCCCCTCGGAGCCCTCTTATCAGGGGGCTTCAAGGTGGGCTGGAACAAGGCTCGGGTCAATGGGGTTACAGACACTTGATGTTTTATGGGAGGGTTACAGGTGCAGGGTGAGCCATACGTTTTAGGGGGTGAGATGGGACAGTCCACTTGACCCCTGGACCTATCCGTAGGCAAGGGCATTGTCCGGCTAGCAGAGAGGACTGTTCTCATCCTGGCTGTATTATTTATGAATAATTATATTTATCCTCTCCAACAGATATATATATCAAATATATATATAAAAATATATATTTCTATATATTACATGTTATATATAATATATATAACATATATATAATATGTTGATTCATGCTTTTTTTGACCATTCCACACTCAGTCTATAATGTGCTATGAAAATAATTCTGATGTTATGTTAAAAGATTTCAGCTTTACTGGAAATGAAGGCAGGAGCTCCACACTGGAGCAAGCTCTTGGATTTTTACATGAACTTGTGGGTGGAGCAGCAAAAGTTTGAGAAATTGATCCAGTTTTTATATTAAGACCAGTAAGTATATTGGAGTGAGAACTCTTCATGGCATTCAGATGAGATGACAAATCTTTCTCCTAGAGTTTTGCTCCCTTCTCCCTCAAGTGAAACAATGACATGCTACAGCATCTTATTTGAGCTTTGTTTTAAAACATATTTTTAAAGATCCCAGTAGGAACATGCTGTGGAAGCAATAGAGGTATCCCATGATTTTTGTATTCTCTGCTCTTTTCTTGTTTTTAAGCATTGGCAACTTGCTTTCATCTCTATGTATTTGAATTTGTAGTACAGGAGTAAAAGGTATGTAAAGTCCTACACTGGAAAATCCTCCAAAGTACAACTATTACAGCAAAGGGGACATGCTTAAAAAAGGTAGTGGTGATTTTAGTGAAAGAAAATGTGCTTTTTTAAACAGAATACCATGTGTCTCTATCTTGAAAGCTATTCATGGTCACAGTAAACTATATTATGACTTGGTTGTAGTGCTGTGCCTTATGTTGGTGTTGTTCTTGCAGGTTCCAGTTGTGAGCAGTGCAGAGAAGGCGCCACATACTCAGGTGCAGTAATATCTCCCAACTTAGAAACCACTAAAATCATGCGAGTTCCTCATGCTTTGTCAGTGTCCGACTGCATTGCAGCGTGTTGTGACCTCTCTGGTTGTGACTTGTCCTGGATGTTTGAACGGCACTGTTACATCGTGAACTGCCAGCACAAGGACAACTGTGAACCTAAAAAAATTGAAACTGTCAAGTCCTACCTTACCTTTGTGCTGAAGCCTTCTCAGAGGCCAGCCTCACTGCTAGGGTTTGGGCAAGTGATCCCAAGCATGGTGCACTCTGTGGGACTCCAGAATGAGCCGTCAGAGGAAGTGAGTAGCCTGAAGAAGCTGTCTCTGCTTGGAAAAGATCCCAGCCTTGAGGAGATACCTGAATACATTGATGATTATAAAGAGTTGGAGCAGGACCCCTTTCAGATGGGCATCAAACATGAGCAGAAGGACAGTATGGATTATGCTGACTGGGGCCTGATAGTGGCAGGTGAAAATGGTTTCAACACTTCCACAGGGGATGATGGAGATAACCAAGAAGATTTTGTTGAAAAGAAAGGGGGGCCTGGGAAGGTGGAAAGCTTTCTAAATAAAAACAGCTCTGAACTGACTTCCGTCAATGAACACTCCACAGAGAGGTCGTCTGTTCTGGAGATTACACCACTCCCTGGGAAGACATTTGAAAGGGAAGCAGCTGTTCCACTCCTTGCACAACCTGAGGATGCTTTGCAAAAAGAGGTAAGGAAGCAGGCAGAGTATGGTCAGGATACTTGGCATTAATTTTTGTTTTCAAATAGTTGAAAATCTGAGGTTATTGCTTTGTAATATTACAACTCTCAAATGACAGTCATGTTACCATGTAGAAGAGGCTGAAGGGGATTGGATTGCCTTAAGAGGCAGATGAATCCCTAAAGGACTTTTTTTTTTTTTTTCATCAGATGATAAGGAGTAAAGTTCCTTTTAGGGCACTGTGAGGTTTCCTTTTAAGTGTACAAATGAGTGAACTTGGACCTGGTGTAATAGTGTTACAGTGGTCTTCACTTCTGACCCCTGGTGACTCACTGGAAGAAGTTAGCAGAGCAGTACTAGTAGACTCTCTGGTATCCAAAGGCCAGGATCAGGGAACATAAGCTCCTCCATCAATAAAATTAGGCCTGCTTCATGAGTTCCATGCTACTAATGCACAGTGGTGTTACAGGTGTAAGTGGTGAGTTAATTTTTATAATGCTTTTAAAACATAAGAGGGCATGGAGCTTAAGGAGGTATGATGAGTGGTTTTGGATGTGCAGCAGGATAAAGTAGATAAGGTGTTTCTGTTCTCAGACTTCTTGAGTCTGATAATTAGAAAAATAAGTTAATTACTTAAAATCCAATGCAAATGTCAGTATAAGTAATATGCACCTGTTCTCTATTTATGTAAAGTGCACCTGTTCTCTGTTTATGCCAACTAGTTTGGTCAGTTAAGACTAAGGGGCTTTGGTTTCTTAAAAACAGACTGGGTTCTGTTGGAAAGTTTAGACAGGCTGTAAATTCAGCATTCCCTGGGTTTCACTCCCCTTGCCAGAGGAAAGAGGAAGTTGATCAATGTTAGATGACTTGCTCTAAATTCCACTTGATTTTGTAACTAGCAAGTATCTCTTGCTGTGAAAAAGGTAATTTATTGCTGTTACTGTAGGGAAGAAAAATGCAAGCAAATAAGAAAGTTGCGTGAAATCTGTGATGGCTGCAGTTCTGGGAGGGGATGTGTGGAGAACAGCAAGTCATAAGAAACAAATAAAGACTTCAGGTAACCAGAAGGAACCTCCTACTAACAGCCCCAGTCCTCATGGTGGATTTAAGACACCTGAATGCCTACTGGGAGGGCAAGAGAGCAGGGCAGAAGCTGTGCAGAAAGTTTCTGAAGGTTGTTGATAACTTTAAGAAGGTATTGTTTTGAGTTGCTTCCACAAGTTGAGAAGGCAAGACTCTCCTGGACTTCACCCTTGCAGGAAGCACAGGATTAGTTAGGGATTGTAGGCATGAGGTAGATGCTTCTAAGAGGGGCAGGAATAAGTGAGGAAGCAGGGTCACAACCATAGGCTACAGTAGAGCATTCTTTGGCCTGTATTTGGAAGAATTGCAAGGGAGATTGCCCTGGAGTTAGTGGGGGTCATGACAGCAGGCTGCTTTTTGAGGACCACCTCCTGTTGAGTCAAGGTAGCCTGTGACTTTTATGACGAAGTTGGTCTGGAGTGTATTGGCACAAGTGAGAAGAGATTAGAATTTGTCTTCATGTGTATGGAAGAATACTTGACCAACAGAACGAGTGCTGCGGCAAACTAAAAATTAGGTACTGCTTCTGCAAGCAGAGTTAATGACTGGAGACCTGTTTTGTAAAGTTCCTACCATGCACACTTTGAAATTAGCATAATTAACATGGGGATTTAGGTGAGAGGAGTAGATATTGATGGTTCTTTTCTTAGTATGCAAAAATTATGTATATATGTGCATATGAAGAGTACAATACCAAAGTAGACTGTCACTGCTCATAAAATTTAGAGTGACATTCTGTCATGCTCTAGTGGTGCAGTTAGTTCTAACACAGGGCAATAGCTGAGCTAAAATTAAGGACACCCAACCACTGCAATACTAAACTCATATTTCCTTCCATCTGCAAGGGGAAACTTGCAAGCATCTTTTAGTTTCTGCCTGTGTAGTGCAATGGAAATCAAGCCACACCAAGAACCTGCAGTAGCTCTGTGCTCCACCATATTTGTGCACTTTAGGTGTGCAGAAAGACTTGAAACTTGTTTCCATTGCACTTTGCTGTCTAATGGAAGACCCATTAGCATTGTGCTGATCTTTAGCCAATTGTCAGGATCCCTGCTGACTGAACTGCTTGTGCCTTGTGCCTTAGAGGAGTCATAAAGCTTCAGGTTCACCTAAACTATGTGTCAGAGCTGAGCAAATTTGTTTCCTGTCACTAAGGGATCATGTGAATATATTTTATGAAAGCTGAGCTTTCACATCCTGCAGCAATGATAAATCTCCTTTGGTTTTCCCACTCCAGCTAGAATATAAAGATTTTACTTTATCTTTTTACACTGACTGTAGATGTGAGTTTATTGTAAAGTGAAATGGAGAGAAACCTACTTCTTACCAGGTCACAATCATTTTTGTGTGATCTTCATATCATGCTAACATTATGCTAGCACAGCTGTCACAGGGACATTTCTCTCTCTCAGGATTTTTAATAGAGGAGCACAAAGAGAAAGAAAGAGAAAACAATTTATATTTCTGCTCCTTGTTTTTCTCATGTGGAATGTGCTTGGAGAATTGTTTACCTGGGGTGATTGCTTGATTGGATTCTGGTGAGATTGTTTGAACCTGATGGTAAATCAGATCCACCTGTATCTGGACTCTCGATAACAGGGTCACAAGTTGGGAGTTAGATTTGGTAGTTAGAGAAAGTAGTATGTAGTTTTAGTATCTTCCTTTATATAGTATATTAATGTATTGCAGCATAGTTATAATAAAGAAATCATTCAGCCTTCTGAACTGAGTCAGACATCATAGTTTCTTCCCATTGGGTTTGCCTGGATTTACACAGCCTCTTGAAATTCCAATAGAAAGGCTGAGGAATGAGATTGCTGTTTTCAGTGCAGGAGGGATGAAATGCCAAACCTGGGTCAGTCTTTAGCCACAGCTGGTAATGATGCTGAAGAACTGGTAAGACAGGTGTAGTTAGAAGGTGGCTGGGATGTGCTCTGTGAGCACAGCTGTAGAAAGCGTGTTAATGGGATAATATCAAAAGCCATTCATGGCGTGTATTGAAAAAGTGGCTCTAAAGGCTCTCTATTAATGTAAAGAAAGAATCTGGGGAAGCAGAAGGCTTTCAGAAACTGCCAAAGTCTAAGTGACCTTTGTTTCCCAGATGGGAATTCATTTGAATTTAGACATGGATGGAGAAATGGAGATGATGAGCGGTTTTAGCAAATACTTTTCCCTGACCTTCCCTAGAATTAGCTTCAGTCCAGACACATCTCCCCTTCCTAGTCTCCACTCCCCTTCTTTCACTGCAGATTATGCTTGGTCACTTTGGTGATGGAAAATTGGCACAGGAAGTTGGAGTCAGTGCATGGCAGTCTCCTTTCTGCCATTTGTCATTTCTATTTTCTGTCACTGTTCCTTCCTTTTTGTTTCATCTGCACTGATGTAGGCTTCTCTGTGGGCCTCATGTTTCCACAACAGTGTCTCCAGCCCTGTGCACAATAATGTTTGCTTCCTGATGTTTCCTCTTATGCCTCCTGTTGTGCATCCCCCCCCCACATCCTCCTGTGTCCCCTGCCCACAGTGGCTATTGCCCTTTTTTGACTAGATTTGAGAGGTTGCAGTGTTGGTGCATGGTGGCTTGATTCCGTCCACTGCCATACTGACTGGAACCACTAGGGTGGCCCATGCAGCAACACCTCTGCCACCTAAGCCCTGCCAGGTATGCCTAATACAAATTTTCAGCTTGGCTCCAAGATTTTCTGTTTTAGGAACTGTAATTGTAGAAACTGTCTGTGGTAGATTGTGGTGATAGAATTTCCTTCTTATGGCTCTTTCTCCAGCAAGAAGAAATTTCCATCAAATCTCATATGGATTGTTTAGCATATATTTGTGTTTCCTTCTGAAAAAGGTTGGTTTTTGAAAACCAAATTTTGTTACAAAGGAAATCTTAAATTTTTACCCTAGATTAAAAATGCCAAGAGGTCTCCAAATAGTTTTTTCATTGGTATATGATCCAAACAACCTCTCAAACTGGTGGCTTTGTATAGGTTATGAAAATATGAAGGTCTTAAAATCATGCTTGCTACTAAATTTAATGAATTGCCCTGTTTATTGCACATTATACAATGTTTTCTTATTATCCTCTTAGTTCTGCCATGGCAATTCTATGTGTCTGTCCCTGGGTCTGTGCTGACGCACTCCCTTCTGCAGCTTCCAGACAAAGCTGTTGTGACAAGCCAGACAGAGCAAGGTGGCAAAAATGCAATTCCCTGATTACCTCTCTTCACAGTAGTCAGCAGGATGTGGGGTCAGGTGCTCTGCTCTTTGAGCAAGGACCTGCACAGAGATTTTAAACTGGGAAACCAACAAAACACAGACCTCTGGAGTCTGTGCCCTTGGAGCATCCTTGTCATAAATGCAGTCAGATGCAGGGAGTTTTTGTATGTGATTTGGGAGAGATAATATGAGGTTTGTCACTTAAGTGAGTCACCTGACTGTTGGGTTTACATCAGAGTTCAGAGGGATCTTATGGACTGTCAGTCTCTGGCAGCTCAATAACCTAAGTACATTCAGAAATCTATACAGAGTATGTGCTGTCCACCTGCCCAGATCTGAAAGCTGCAGTGTTGCCCATCATTGAAGTGAGATATCTGCAAGGAATTAATTTTCTTTTTAAAATTTTCAGTGAACTGCTGATCTGCTAAGCCAAGTAAGGTTTTTAAGGTCTTAGCCAGAGTCTAGCTGTGGCTGTGTTGATGCTGCAATGTTCCAAACATTTATTCAACAGCTAAGGCCTGATGTAATTCTTGTGCTTATTGTATTTGCAGGGATAATGGTGCAGTCAAAATATATAAATCTCTATCTAAGAAAATTTAAGATGGCTGACAGACTCTGTGGTGGTGAGCCTTTTAGTGTCTGATTGACTTGCCTTCAGAATTCATATTTAAGACTTAGAATGCAGTTGAATAACATAGACATTCATCTCCTATTTTGGCTTTGTTTCAGTTTTGATACCTGCAGAAGCTGAACAGTTCTGTTTGGTTAAAAATACATTGGCTTGATCCATAAAAGAGGTCTAAAACTCCTGAAAGATGTTTTGATATTTAGATTTACCTTTCTTTCTATTTTGAAGTCTGTACTTCATGTTATATGGTTGTTATTTTCTGTTGGAATTCTCAAGAGATTTGCACTCAAGTCAAATCCAGAGGATCTGGGGCCCTCTGGAGGGATGTGGGCCCTCACTATTGGTGTGTTTGTATCGAGCAATAGTGGCTGTAAAAAGGGTAAAAGTAAACAACCCACAAAGTCCCTACGAGCAGAACTGCCTATTGGACTCACTGCCAGAAAGAATTCTTTTCTTTCCTTTAACTTTCACTTCCCAAGCTGGAATTTAGGTTAATCTTGCACTCTATATCTTTTCCAGCAAATCTCTTGGTAACTGTTTCTGTCTGAGAGCTTAATTGCTGATATTGTCCCTGCCCCAGTTGTCTGCTGTCTGCTAACATTTTTAGTTTGTTTTTTTGGCTGTGACACCACTTCAGACGTGACAGTGCCACAGGGCACCTTTTTTGACTGCAGTGTCTTGCCTAGGCTTGCTGACTGAAGTGATGTTTGGTGCCACTGCAGAAGAGGCACCCTGGAAAGGTATGTGTGAGGTGACTTTGTCTCCATCTGTCCTACAAAGCCATGATGGCTGCTTTTCATTTGCTGGACTGGCAAAGGATGAAGAGAGGAGAGGCCAGAGGAAGCTCAGGAAAGTAGACTTCCCTCAAATTCAGGAGGCAAAAAAGTTCTGTGGTTTGCCCAATTGTGGGAAGAAAATCCTTTTATGAAGACTGGAGTGAGTATGTAAAGGAGGCCTATCTGGAGGAAAGACCTTTTGTCAAGATACAAAGCAGGATGGGTTTCAGGTTTTCCCTGTACATGATGCTATCAAGTGTGAGATTCCTGAAGGCACTATTTTAGGTGAGCTGCGGTCCCTGATCCTGCTATCAGTGTCCAGCTGCTCAGAGAGTACTGTCTGCTTATGGAGCAGAGCTGGAGGTCTGACCACAAAGATGCTTGTTTTGTCTGTATTATGGACTTGCCCAAAAGTGCAGCTCTTGGCATTATTTTCTGCATCCTCATGGGTGGGCAGCCACAATCTCTGACACTGCACAGGGATTTTTTTCTCTGTGTCCATTGTTGAAAGTTGAGATGGAGTTGCAGATAACTTCCGTGCTCTGTTTTTTTTGTAGGCTGGCAAGGAACAGTTCCTGGCTTTGCTTTCACGTTCCCAGCTGCACAAGGAGCTGGAGCTTTTGATCCTGTCCAGAAGGCAGGGCTGCTCTTATTTCCTAGGGAGGCAAACTGCAAAGGGAAAGTAGAGCACCTGAAATGCAAAGAGAGTAGGGACTGTTCAGCTTTGAGCACAGAGAGTTCAGAGGATTTTAAAGATGTGTGTAAATAACTCTGATGGGTGTGAAGAAGATGGAGCCAGGCTCTTCTCAGTGCTATTCAGAGGTGGGACAAGATACAATGGACACAAAATGAAAAACAGGGCATTTTATTTAAACACTAAACCCCATATTTTTTTTCTCTGAGGATGGCTAAACATGAAGTTTTCCAGAGAGGTGGATTCTCTGTCCTTGGAGATACTCATAACCTCACTGAATTTGGTCCTAAGCAGTCTTCTGTAGCTGACCCTGCTTTGGGGGATGGGGCTGAACTGGGCTATCTCCAGGGGTCCCTTTCCACCTCACCCATTTGTGATGTAAGTGTACATTTCACCAACCTTCATAATCCTATTCTTCAATTAATAAACAATGTACAAATAATAGTATGTTGCTGTACCTTCACATGCCAAACAAAGTAGCCATAATTGGAAAAATGCTTTTCCCATATCATTAGATCAGAAATAAATCTTAAGAATATTAAGAAAAACCTGCTGGCCCATTGAGGATAATGTGTTATTGAAAGGCAAGATTAATCTAGTGCTGAGGTATTTGTGCCACACTTGCCATGTACTTTGCTGCAGTTCTGATTTAGTAACAAGGTGAGGCAGTGCTGCTTGATGCCTGAAGTAGAGACTTGTAGGGTGTTTTATTACTGTTGAGGAGATAAAAAGGCACAAACAACTTGTGTACTGAGAAGATGTAGTAAGAAGCAAGGACTCTGTTATGTTTGTGTATGGCACAAAACAATAATACCACATAGACTTTCTGACATTGGCTTTTAAAGATTTATGACTGTATTTAGACCTGTTGTACTGATTTTTTTTATATTTTGGTAACTGGTAGCATTAGTTGTATTCCAGGTTACCACATGACTGTTCTACATCTGAAACTTGGAAAATTATTAGCAATTGTTACAAAGCCTGATCAGAAAAAACTCCGGTCCTTGTTCAATGGATATTCTGTACATGAATAAAATCTCCTAGTAACATAAATCATTAGGGTCATCCTATGTGCTATTTAAAAAACAGCATACCTCTAAATCTAGAAATGTGAATAACTCTTTCCTGCAATAACTCTTTCCCTATAATTCCTTTTTTTCAGGCTGCTACACTTTCTTTTTCTTCAGATGAACCAGATTTCTCCCCGGGTTTGTCAGAGAAAACCCTGACTCCCACCGTGGCCCCAGAGAATGCCACTGAAGGTGGAATCATGCTACTTCCCACTAATACTGCACCATCTGAGCCCATGCAGCTGTTCACACCACCTGCTACTGCTGCTAAAGCAGGTAATGTTTCAACAGAGCTGGTGATCTGAGGGGTTGGACGGGGGGGAATCTGCAGATTGGACAGAGGGTGGGGATGACTTTTCTACTGTCAGGTTTCCAACCTGTTGTTAGTAAGACCTTATTCTTTATCCAAATGTTATATAATCCCGCTTTAAACGTGTAGACCTACAGTAACACTGCAAACCCCAGACCCTATACTCACTTAATTCTGAGGCAAAACCTTGACCAAGTCCACCATTAGTGGGAAATGACAACTCAAGGAAATACAGCAAAGTAAAAAGCAGAGATTAAGACTGGTTTTAAATGTTTTCAGGGTTTTTTTTTTTTTTTGTTTTGTTTTTTTTTTTTTTTTTTGCTTTGTAAGCAATATCTGAAGCTTTCTGGGGTTTCAGAATAGTCTCTTCTATCCATATTGTTGTTTTTGGTGTGACTCTTCAGAACACTGCTCTCTCTCAGAAACTCTGCAGTAGTTGCTAGATACCATGAAGCACCATAGGTGGGACCTGAGGAAGCTCAGCCCTTAACAGTGGAGAACATGGCCTCCAAATCCTCAGAAATCAAAATTTTACTCTAATTTCAAAACTGTGGGGAAGCTTATCATACTTACAGCTGCAATACAAATGGTTTTATTTTGAATAGACTTTTAACTACCACGTCCTCTGTAGTTGTGTTAAATTCTGTGTGTATGTTCACATATCTCCTTTCTCCTGCTGTTTTCTGCCTCCCTGTGCACACTGACAAAGGGTTAGAAGGGCCACAAGAAGCAGAAAAGCACATATGTGTGTTTTTCTGCACTCCTAATGTACAGAGGGATGTGGAGACCTAAGTCCTCTGCTTCCTGGCAGAGAAAGTCTGGTTTCAGACATTCTTGGCACCCTCTACCAAAATGCAACCTGCCAGCAAGGATAGCAATAGAAGGTAAGAGGAAGAGATAAGCTACGAGAGATTCCTCTCCAATACAGTGGATCATCATTACCATTGCCTGTTGGCTAGGCAGCTCTTCCTCCTCCTCTTGTGAAGGAGGAGGTTGAAGAGGGCTCAAAAAGAAGTTTGGAAGAAGAAGCTGAAGGGAAGGTTGTGATGAATCTCACTGTAGGTACTGCTTTGTACAAGGATGCTTTATACCGCTTTGTATTGCTTTTGCCTAAAGTTTGTGTATTCTCAGCCAGACTGTCTAGAAAGTCTCAATGACAGTCCCTCCTTCTCTCTTTTGGCATTACCCTCTTCTAGCCGTTTTATTGTCATTGCATGTGAAAGTTCAAGTGCAAACCTTTGCTCCACAGGTGTGTAGGGCAACTTCCATGATCAGTTGTGAAGCCTTGGGTGAATTTAAATAGCAGTGACTGAAAGTGTATTTTCAGTGTCTTCACTGCATCATTTTTAGACCCATCAGCTGCCACTGCTGGGCAGTAGCAGAAGCAGTAGCTTCTTTGGCATCTCTTCTGAGTTTGTAAGCCGGACATTTACACACTAGTGAATGCTGCCTTCTAAGAACTTTTGTTCTGTGGTTTCCCAATACTAAAAGCAAGATATTTGAAACATTTGAAATACAGGACTAAGTAAACTTTCCCTTAGCTGTGCTTTGATATGTTTCTTCTGGTGGCTGTTTTTGTGTACTTTGGCATTTTTTGAAACATAAAAGTTTTCACAGACAATGACTGGATAGCAGGTGGGTTGAATGGGTAGTTCGGATAAGAAATAACCATTTGCCCTGCTATGCAAGTGGATTTCTTAAAAGGAACACAAGATGGACATTGGAACCTGCCTTGCAAGTGCCACACAAACATAGAAGTAGTACTCTTTTGTGAAAGAAAGTGTGATATTAAAGTTCTACTATGCTTTTTTTTGTCTTCTGTAACTGTATTTTTTAATTCCTGCACTTCGAATTACTGAGAACAATACATAACTCTTTATGCAGAGCATTGTTACCTCTGATATGAAGGAATAATGAGAATGCTTTTCTCTGAAACAGAAGTAGGGAAATGACACTTCATAGCTGGAGAAGAAAAAAAACTTTGGTTTGGTAAAAGGTGAGGGAATCACAGTCATGATTAAAAAGATCATTATTTTATAATGCATTAAGGATTTTTTTTTAATTATTGCTGCCTGTTCTCTATAGAATACTTGTCAAGTTTTACTTAATCCATTGCAAATAATATTTGAAGATACTAAATTTATATCAGTTCCATCTGTTATAACACAGTGTACTCATCCTATCTTACATGTAGTTAAAGAACTTACTGTATCTGCTGGAGATAACATACAAGTGATGTTACCAAAAAATGAGGTCGAACTGAATGCCTTTGCTGTCCCACCACCATCTACAGGTGAGTTGAATGCCTTGGTATACAAGAAGATTCATACACTACCAACTTGTAAATGCAGACAAGTTTTGAGTTATGTAAACATCCACCACTTAGAATAAAACAATTTTTCTCATTTTAATATTGCCTCTTTTGTGACTCTAACTACAGAGAGGATTTCTTCTGTTAGATTTTAAAGACAAATTTGTTTTAAGTGGCTTTTACTTTCAGAACCTGAACTTATTAGCCAGATGGTACAATAGAAAGCCTGTAATTTCTACCAAAAGACGATGTGGCCTAGTTTTTAGCATCTTACTGTAAAGCTCAGGGAAGGCAGGAAAGTAGGTTTTGAATGCAACATTTGCCTTAAAACTGCCAGCTTATGAACTGCAGGAGCAAGTAAAAGATGTTTCATAAGCAGCTATGTAAAATACGTTGGCTTCACATGAAGCTGGTTTTTGTGAAGAAGCTGATTATTTGTGAAGTCCATTACATCCTTGCTGCTTTACAAAGTTGCAACACACTGGGAGTTTAACATATGGTCGTACTGCTTCATTTTACAGGCTTAAACAGTAGCAGTCATTATTTCATACTGTAGCATTTTATCTGATGAGTGGTGAACTTGATTTCTTTGTTCTCTGGGCTTATCTTGAACACAAAACTGATTGTTTATTTATTGTTCTTAGAAACATCCTACATCTATGAGTGGAGCTTAATCAGTCACCCTGATGACTACAGTGGGGAAATGGAGCGCAGGCACAGCCAGACTTTGAAGCTCTCTCATGTAAGTGAGCTGTAAGCTCAGTCTAATTGTGTTTATGTGGTCCTTTTACAGAATTGTAACCTATGGGGAAGAGCACCTTGATCCAAGGCGTTCAAATGGCTTCAAGTCATCCTGCATCTCTTCACTTGTTTGTGTCACCAAAGTTATGCCAGTATCTTAGAGTGCTCTAATAATTTCCTAAGATAAAGTAAAAATTCCTCAGTGCTTGCTTCATTTTCCCCACTTCCAGGCAGTGACTTTTGGCTTTTTATGTATGTGTTTATAAAAGTAATTTGAGGATTCAGACATCCAAATTTATTCTTTTGTGATATGATTGTCAGATTTAAGCATATTTCTTTTGTATAATTCAATATGTAACCTTATTTGTTCTGTGTTTGTCTCAGTTATCAGTGGGACTTTATGCCTTCAAAGTGACAGTTTCCAGTGAAAATGCTTTTGGTGAAGGTTTTGTAAATGTCACAGTCAAACCAGGTAAATCAGTTGACCGATATAATTAATATTTTGACACAAGTAGAGCTTACTTATCCAACAGTCACTCAGTTACTGTTTGTCAAGGACATCTGCCAGTCCAGTCTTGCTGATGTGTTTCATATCTTGGTGTCTCTTAAGGGCTTTAAAGAAAGAACTAAGGGTCCTGCTCACTGTGTTTAAGTACTCTCTAGTCTTTCCCCCTCCTCAGGCAAAGCCTGAGATACCATCATGCCGCCTTTGCTTTTCTCCAGCTAGGGACAGCAATCACGTGCTGATCCAGCTCTATCTACAGGTTACAGTGCAGGGCTCTGATTTGAATAACACCAGGTAGGAGCACTGCAGGGGAACACTGCTGTGTCAGCGCAATGGTCATCAGTAACCTCTTCTTTGCCTTGTCCAAAAAGGACAGCAGATGCTGCAAAGCTGTGTGTCCTAGATTTAATCACTGGGGACTATTGATCTGTAGACTTAACATTAGTTTTGCCTGGGTTTTCACTAATATTTTTTTTCTTCCCCTTTTTTTCTTCCTCCTCTATCTTTCTCACAGCAGTCAGAATTAACCAGCCACCTGTTGCTGTTGCTTCACCCAAAGTGCAAGAAGTTTCCTTGCCTACAACTTCTACCTTCATTGATGGCAGTCGTATGTACTAGACCATCCTGTGCTTATATCCTATATTTTAATATACAGTTACAACATAATTGGTTGTCAATTACAAGTGAAATTTCTTATTCTCACTCCTCTCAGAAGTTCCTTGATTGATGATTTTTGGGGGACTGTGTGTCCAGTTACAAATTATTTTAATAAATTAAAAAATTATAAAACATAACCTTGCATGTGGAGATTGAGATGCAGTGTGTCAGACTGCTGCATCCTCACAGCAGCTATTCTTACAGCTTCTTCCTGTGCTGCCCAGAGAGCCTCTGTGCCAGTACAACTGGGGCCATAGTAGAAAGCTGTCAGATAGGGTATGATGAGGTGTTCTACCTACATTCATAATTTCTGGGTGTAGACAAGTCAGAATGTGTAGAGTCTGAGACTGATAATATTTTTTTTCATTCATGTGTGTGAAGAATTGTTTAGATAAATTGTACCAAAGGTAACTTGGTATGACTTTGTGGTTAATGAAGCTTGTTCAATTATACTTGTAGAAACAATTGTAGAAAACCAGTTAGGGATGAGTGTATGAATTACTTAAATATTCATTCCAGTAATTGCTACAAGAAACTGATGTGATATTCTTTAATGAATGTAGAAAGCATAGATGATGTGAAGATAGTGAGTTATCACTGGGAGGAAATTAAAGGTCCCCTGCGAGAGCAGAAGGCATCTGCTGACACACCTGTCTTGCACTTGTCTAACCTTGTTCCTGGAAACTACACCTTCAGGTACCTGCATGATGATTTTCTTGGGGGCTTATCTGTGATATCAGCTAAATGTTCATTTTTTTCTGTGCTCACACGTATCTCCTCAAAAGAATTTCATTTTCTTCTGCATATACTGTTACTCTTTTTTTTGCACAGTGGATAAACACATGGAGTGGTTTTATCAAAAAATGGTTGCAGTGATCCTTTATAATTCCTAATTACAGAAAAGAAGGTATCATAAATTAATTATGTCCCCATTTCCAGCAATAACAACTGTGACAGACTATTTTTTTCCTAGCCTAGAAGCTGGATAGTGCCCTGAATTAAACTATGAATCAGGCTGTGAAAGTCATCCTCTGAAGGGCGGTGGCAGACAGGATAATATTGGCAAACTTGTCCTCACAAGACATTGTTATGCACTAATTTTACTAAGAGTCATTCTGTTCTTTATAAACGTTTTTGCCTTGCTACTGGTTTCCTCCATTTATGCATTGCTGAAACTGGGGGCTGCCTAGATAGTGGAAGCAATGTTTGTGGTTTAAGGTGCTTTAGTAAAAATCAGTCCTTTTTCTGAATTGTTTGACTTAAAGTCCAGTCTATACAGAGGCAGACTTCCCACTGACCCAGCTTGGGTTCTTTGGCTGTCAGTGGGTTGCCTGTCAGTAAATCTATTTATGTATCATCACAGATTGTTGAGGCCAGCATATTTATACATTAACTGTGGTGCTTTGCATAAGTCACTAAAAGTTTTACAGCTTCTACTTCTTAATTCTGTATTTTTTACTGAAATTGTTCCATTGTCGGACAGTAGCAGAAATTAGTGTTAATTTTTTTCCATGTTGAAAAGGGCAGAGTCTGACTTACAAGCAATGCATCTAAGTGTGTCCCAAACCCTAGGGAATTAAGAAGTCAGTTGTTGCATCTCTGCACTTTTGAGGGAGGCTGACTTACCTGAACAGGCGTGTGTTGAAGATTACAAGAAATTAGCTGGTCAAAAAAATCCAGTACCTTTGATACACATGGATGTGCACCCATTGCAAAATGTACATGTTCCCTAATGTCTGAGGTAATGAGCACTAGTTTTGTTCCTGCTCATGTTCCCTTCCATGTGGTCAGCTGTGTGCAGTTTTCATAATAGAGGTGGATTACAGATTAATTGGTGAATTAATTTGAAGTGCCTGCGTTAATCTCATTTTAAGATTATTTTGTGCTTCTGAGAGGCCTAAAACCCTGTACATTTTTAGTTTTGTAACTTGACATTAATATTAATCTCCATTAAAATTAGTAATGATGTGCCACAAAGAAATAAGAAATGAGGGTCTGCTGTTCTGTAAGCAGAGCTTCTGAACATCCATAGTAGTTTTAGATGTTTCTCTGTACTGTTTCACTATGAGTGATGAATAAAATCCTTGTTTTTTACTGAGTACATTTCTAAAAGAGTTTGTAGTGAATGGTGAAGTTGCCATTGACAGCAGGTAAAGGGATTCAGAATATCTAGGGGTTTTTCTGTTAATAGTTGAAAGTTGTCTTTGTAAAGTTTTCCTAATTTCTTTCCTGCCTTAGCTGAGGAATATGTGTGTCTGAAGCAGAAGTTTATATCATATAATCAGTGGCTTTTGTTTGGGTGGTATTTGAAAAGGTGCCAGAAAAAGATTATTATTTCAATTTTGAAGTTGGCAGAAGTTCATCTTAACAGATATTGTTTTTCCTGTTGTAGACTCACAGTGATTGATTCAGATGGAGCAGCCAACTCCACCATTGCATCTCTGACTGTCAACAAGCCAGTGGATTATCCACCTATTGCTAATGCAGGACCAAATCAGGCAGTCACTTTGCCCCAGAACTTCATCACACTGAATGGAAACCAGAGCAGTGATGACCATGAAATTGTCAGCTATGAGTGGTCGCTTAGTCCCAAAAGCAAAGGCAAGGTTGTAGCAATGCAGGTATGTGTATTTCTCCTTTCATAGGATTGAAAAGCTCTCTTATCTTTGCCTCTAACATGAGCAAAAACATACCTAACTGCTCAAAAGCACTGAAATGCCTAGAGTGATGTTTTTTGTTTTTCTCTCACATGTATTCAGCTCTTATTTTAGATACGACTTTTAATTGCTTTTAGGGTTTTTTTGGTTTGTTTTTTTTTTTTTTTTTTTAATTCTTTGGGGCCAAACAAACTTGCTTGTTCCCTGGTGGTCTGGAAAGACTTCAAGATCACGTTGTCTGTCCTTGAATCCTAGAAGCTGTTTCACAGACTCTCATCTTTTGAGGCTCTGGGCAGGCTGAAAACTGGTTATAGGAGAATGTGGGGGTAGTCAGAGTTTTCTTGAAACACTTTCTCCTGGAGAGAGTAGAACTCAAATAGAAACTTAATTTTCTGAGTGAAAGATGACAAGACCTTTTGGCAGTGTTTATGCAGCCATGCTGTGGTGGATTTTTATGCTAACTAAAATATGGGTTTCCAAAGAGGGCTTACAGAATTTATTCTCTTATTTTCATTACTGTTTTTGTTGTTGTTGTTGTTTTGGGGTTTTTTATATCTGAGAAGTTAATAAATATTTTCATTGGACTTGCATTCACTACGTTGGAGATTCTTACAGCTCTATAGGCAGTTGAGATAATGAATGTAATGTATCCAGCTGAAACTCAGGAGCCATTTTTTATAAGACTTGATTTCTGCCATGTTGGAAAATGCTTTAGACCTTCAGAACTGAAAAGAGATCTCTGTACATATATGTAGGGAAGAAATAATATTATTAATGCAAGACTACACTGTAGAGGAAATTAAAAAGTATGGAAGGACTTACAGCATAGTGACTTCTTCTGATCATTCACCAAGACAAAAGCTTTCCAGAAGCAAACTGAACTTGTAGTTTCTGAGAGCTGTTCAATCTTAAAGCAACCTTTCTGAAGGAAGGGAATGACTGCTCGAGCTATCCAATGGATTCGCTGGGTATTCAATGTGGAAATGCAAGTATGTTACAGTTTCTTTTCAACAGACTGGTAATTTTTTTCATGTGCCTGAAGCTGAGTATCATAGAACCATAGAATGATTTGGGTTGGAAGGGACATTGAAGATCACTTTCTTCCAACACTTTGTCATGGGCAGGGATGTCACTCACTAGACCAGATTGTTCAGGGCCCCATCCAATTTGACCTTAAACAGTTCCAGTGATGGAGGATCCACAGTTTCTCTGGGAAACCTGTGCTGGTGCTTCACCACCTTCTAAGTAAATAATTTCTTCTAATATCTAATGTAAGCCTGCACTCTTTCACTTGGAAATTATCCCCTCTTGTCCTGTCACTATCGCCCATATAAATGTCCCTCTCTCTCCTTTTATAAGTGCCCTTACGGTACGGGAAGACTGCAATGAGGTCTCTCCAGAGCCTTCTTTTTTCTTCAGGCTGAACAACCCCAACTTTCTCAGCCTTTTTTGGGGGAGGTGCTCCAGCCCTCTGACCCATCTTCATGGCCCTTCTTTCAACCACTCCAGTGGATGCTGGTCTGTGGTGTATTATATGATATCCACTGTTAGAGTGAATGTAACAAGTACCTGTGCTGGTTAGTTAATAGTTTATCAAAGTCTTTTATTGTCATCTTTATCCAAAATAAAAAAGAAAGCCAAACCTATTTGCATTATGATTTGGTATTCCTCATATGAGAGATGCCACAGATATTCATTTTATTAGCAAAAGGACCTATGGTTGGGCTCAGTCATTTTACGACTTCTAGAGGTATCAGCAAATGCTGCTGGAAGAGTAAATTCAGGACAGAGTTGTCTTGTTTAATATGGAGTTTTTTTCCATAACCCTATTTGTTCAAGTCAAGCTTGGTTTTGCATTTAACAGTTTTTATAAGTACTAAAGGATGTCATGAAGTTTGTTTTTAAAATATCCCTAATGAAATGGAATAAGCAGTAGGAATTTTCATCAGTGTTTAATTTCCTAATTAAGAATGGTAGTCTTCCATGTGTTTCACAGTTATTGTTGTGGAGATGTGGCGTATGCAGTGGTTATACCAACAAAAGAAAATAGGATTTATTGCCTACAGATATTTCCCTGGGTTGGTAGGGACAGTTGCAATAGTGAACACATTACCTCTGTCTGCCAAATTTTAAGCCTCCTCTTTATCTGCAAAATGCATAAACTCCTTACTCAAACACTTTTAAGCATTTATTTTTCCTTACATTTTCTCTGTAAGACCTTCCATTACCCACAACCCTTTATGTTTTATCTGGTGCTCTGTCCTTGCTGATGCTGCGAAGGGAGTGCGGACGCCGTACCTGCAGCTCTCCGCAATGCAGGAAGGAGATTACACGTTCCAGCTGACTGTGACAGACTCTGCGCGGCAGCGCTCCACAGCCGAGGTGACATTGATCGTGCAGCCTGGTAAGTCAGTGCAGGCACATCTGGGTCCCTCAGGGCTGGCCCAGCCTGGTGCCTTGGTGCCGCTCTCCAACACCTCCTCTCCCCACATTGTACCACTGATATGGCAGCCGCAATGCCTGGTACCCCTGGGTCAGGAACTTGTCCACCTCCATTTGCTGTCAAAGCAGGCAGTTAAGTGTAGAATCAAATGCTGAATCAAACAAAATCCAGGTGGTGAGCCTGAGGGTCACACCAGCTTGGTTATGTAAGGCAACAGAGATCTGTTTGAATATGCTTCTAAAACCCAAATTGTTGCTCTTGAGTTTAATGTCCTACAGAGTCTGTTTTGAAAGCTGCTCAGAGTATCAATGAGCACTTTGTTCAATTTCCTAATTGTTTCGCAATTATCCTGCAAGAGTCCTTGTGTGATTTGAATTCACTTAAACAAATTGCATTGTGCTTCCTAGGAAAAAGTGTCGACCAAGGACTTTTTAAAAGCTGCGTCTTTCAAATGTTTATTTAGGTTTGGGAGCCAAATGATGAATAAGCTCAAATGATCTGGACCTCATGTGTTTGTTTTTTTTTTTTTAATGCTTTTTTTTTCACAGTATGTTTGCCTTTTGCATCCACAGTAGCCTTTTCTGCCCCTGTGCATGTCTCACATTCCACCATGGGGAAATGTTTTATCTTCTGTTGCCGCTTAATATGCATCTTTTGTAGATGATCCCTTCTGGAGCAACTTTACAGTAGTCATTCTCTGCAGAAACAAGAACATGAATTGAAAGTGTGGTGTGTGGTGGTGCCTTTTATGACCTGTTATAATGTGGAGTTAGAAAGATGCTATTGCTGAAGTCAGGCTCAAGGGTAAATAGATAACCAGGAAAATGGTAGTGTTGCCAGTTTTACGATGTCACAAAAGCAGAGACTGAAAACAGAGTAACAGGTTATGTTTCTGCACTAAATTCTCAAAGGCTGTATATTGATATTAGCTTAGTGGCCTTGAGCAGCAGACAGAATGAGTTAGGACCTTTTCTGAGGGCAAAGAATCATATTTGTGTGGGATGTTTTAAAGAGGATGGACTGGTGGAACCAGGAGAATACCCCACCACTCATGTTTCTTGACATTTCATGTAATGCATTGAGCATGCAGCAAGATTTTTGGGAATATGACTGTGCCTTTAGATAGGACAATGAAAAAGGGAAGTACTTGCAGTTGGATTTGGGATCCCACTTGCTATGGCATTTGGCTTGCTGCAGAGCTGACATCTCCCACCTGATGGCTTGTACATGTTATGCTTGTGGTTTGTACCTTTTGAGCCAATATATCAAAATTTTACTAAAATACCCTGTGTAAAATCTGATTGGCAAGACTTGCCAGTGACTACCTAGAAAATGTCATACACTAAATACTAATTTTGCAGAAAATAACAGTCCTCCAGTAGCGGTGGCTGGCCCTGACAAGGAATTGACCTTCCCAGTAGAAAGTACTACACTGGATGGAAGCAAAAGCCAAGATGACCAAGGCATTGTCTTCTATCATTGGGAAAATATCAGGTATCCAAAGATTTCACTAATCCTCAGTAAAATAGAGAACAAAGTGAAAGTGATTGAGTCTAGAGCCTCTTATCCAATCATTTTGACTGATGAATTGTGAATTATGTTCGAAAATTGCTTTCAGGACAATCCCACGTGGGTAGTAATAGCATAAAAATAGCCATTTTAAGTTGAACTTAAAAAGCTCAGGCAATCTCTGCCTATCTTTTGCAATGTTTAATTTTGAGGCCTACTTTTATAAAATTAAGAAAAAATGACAGGGACTTTTGTGTCGCCTGTTAAAAAGCAAGTAGCAGGCTTGGATTGTATCCTGTAATATACAAAGTTTTTCCATTTGTGCTTAGAACTAGGGTTTCTCAGTCACTTGTTTATTGAATAATAAAGTATCAGTCACTTTGTCCTGAACTTCCAGTAATGGGTGACTAAATCAGTCATGAATGATGATGGAAAATATTTTACAAAAGCTTATAATTCTATGTTTATGTGCAAATCTAACTGATCTTTAATAAAAAGGCAAGGTATTTTAGCTCATGCAGCTGTCGTACCTGGTACAGGAAGAGGTCTGCTGGCAGCCTGTACAGGTTGTGAGTGGCTCTTAGAGCAATATAATTTGCATTAAATAGCTATTAATTATAGTTCTATTTTCATGGTCTCATGAAATAGAACCGTGGTGAGGTTGAACTTCTGGGGGGTTTTTCTATTCTTCTGATAGGTCGGGATGTGTGCTTGGGTGCTTTGAACGTCTTCAAAAAAGGCATTAATGAATTCTCTGAACTAAACTTATGTAGTTCTTTAGCCATCAGTCATTACAGCAGTAGTAGAACTATAACACATAAAATCAAAAGGCCTGAGCAATGCTGTTGAACTCACAGTTTGGCTGCCTGGGCACAATTATTTTTGTGAGATGTCTTGTTTCAGTGGGCCAAGCTCTGTACAGATGGAAAACACTGACAAGGCAATAGCAACTGTGACTGGTCTCCAGGTTGGTACCTATCACTTCAGGCTGACTGTGAAAGACCAGCAAGGCTTGAGCAGTGCATCTGTGCTCTCCATTACTGTGAAGGAAGGTAAGCCTGGCTGCTGCTTCTTAGGCCATAGTGGGCAGCTGGACACTTCATTCAGTTGCTGATGGAATGTGAAAGAAAGCAGAACAGAGAGGTGTAACATATTTGATGTTATATTTCAAATGTGTTTAAGAAAACTGCTCTTTTGTATTAAAGTAGTATTGTGAGTGACTGGCAGAATTAATTTCCTTTGATGCAAGCTGTTTCAATGTTCGGTATATGCAAAATTACTTGTAATAAACGTGCTTCAAAATAATTTTTTTGACAATTGTATGTCTACATCATTAGGAAGATATGTTTTTATTTTATCTTTGAAATTAAGCTTTGGGCAGAAAAGCAGTTTTCCTGTGGATTTTAAAGTAACATCCAAGACAAGATGTCTCAGTTTTTAAGTTTTTAAGTTCCACTTAAAAATTTATTATTAAAAGATCTGAGTTGTTTGGTTTGGGGTTTTTTTTTTTTTTTGTGGTGTGTTGTTGTGGTAGGTTTTCATTTGGTTTGGTGTTTTTTAATTATACAGAGAAACAGTTGCTGTAGTGTGGGGTATTTTACGTTTTTTGGGTTTTTTTTCCCCACATGCATGCTGTAGAAGAGGCTGTAGGACAATCATAGTAGTTTGGGTTTGGAGGGACCATGAAAACCATCTTGTTCCAAACCTCCTGCTGTAGCCTGGGATACCTTCCACTTGACCAGGTATCTCAAAGCCCCATCCAGTCTGACCTTGGACACTTCCTGGGATGTGTTGACTTCAGCAAGCCCAGGAATGCAGTTGGCTTTCTGGACTGCAAGTGCACGTTGCTGGGTCATGCTGAGCTCAGTTAATACCCCAAGTCCTTCTCTTCAAGGCTTAGAGGCATTATGCTGACTACTCTTAATCCAGTCTCTGCTCAATTTGTATTTGGGATTGGGATTGCCGTGAGCCATGTGCATCTTGGAGGAGAAGTTAGGCTTTGTTTTACTCATGTGCATCATTGCTTGAACTGTTTCAGAGTTTCAGTTAGTGTTCAGTTAGAAGTATGTGGCAACAGCTCTTCCCAAATGTATCCATAGTCTTGTTTGTGCTGTGAAGTATAGCCACATTAAGTTCTGTCTACAGTCACAGGTTTGATATTAAAAATACACAATTTTCCTATAACCATGTTTAGTCAATTGGTTTTACATGGAAGAGACACAAACCTATGCTGTTAACAGCCAACACCCTTGATATCTGCCCAGGATTGAATTATTTATGTCCAACTATTTGTGTACAGTGAGGTATTTCACTCAGCCCCATAGCCTCTGTGAGCCCTGGCTTACTAGCTGTGCTCTGAAAAAAAATCAGTGATGTCTGGTTTCTGTAAAGAGAACATGTTCATCTTTCTTTGTCTTTTTTTTCACCATATGACTAATGCATGCCTTAGTTTCACTGCTAGTGGTGATCGAAAAACATTTGGGAATTAGATTTACTCTTAAGTTTTTTGTTTGCATTTTGCCAAAATGCAGGCATTTGAAGATAAAAAATCTTGCACAAGTTTCTGTTGGCTAATAACTGATTTTCAAAATGAAGAGGTCCCAGCATGGTGATCTCATGCGGGGCTGTGTTCCTAAGTAGGCAGAAAATCTTTTTACTTAACTGAGAAGATCTGATGTTTAAGTTATTGTGAGACTATAAATGGAATATCCAACAATGCTTTTTGAAAAAGATCTTTCTCCTCAACTGCAATATGCTCAGAGACAGATTTTGTATACCAATTCATCCTTTCCCTGTAGCTTTGACATGAGGTTCTGTTGTTATTGTCTGTAATCATCAAGTAAAGAATTGCAGTGTGGGTGTATTGGCAATGGCATGTGACATGTTTTGAAAGAAATCCTTCTCCACTATCTTTATGGCTAGAAAACAACAGTCCACCCCGGGCACATGCTGGTGGGAAGCATGTTCTAGTGCTTCCAAACAACTCTGTTACCTTGGATGGCTCAGGGTCTGCTGATGACCAGGGGATTGTGTCATATTTGTGGATTCGGGATGGTCAAAGCCCAGCAGCTGGGGTAAGTTTCTTGAAGGTGTAATGTAATTTGTTTTGCATGTAACTGCAGCAGGGAGAGCAGGTATGACCCATAAGATGCTGTCAGGTGTGGTGCCTGTTTCTGGTTTGTCTCCCCTGCTCTCAGTAATGATGTGGTTCAAGAGGCTGCTAATATTTTCAGTACAGCTAGAGAATATAGTAACTAAGGACTGCAGCAATGCAGAGTAATTGATGATAGTATGAAGCTAATGTGTTTGAGAGAAAAAAAAATCTGAAATCCAGATTTTCCAAAGGAGGAAGGTCTGAGAGCAAGTACCAATAAATATTAAGGAATCCTGCCTGGTAGCATATGAGGTAAATTTTAAGTTAAAAAGGGTGTTTGGCATTATATGTGTAGGCACCTTCTCCTGGCAGATGATTAGCTGAGGGCATGAAGGCAAGGGATTCTGCTCTCTGAGTGGGGTGAACAGCAGAAATACCTGATATGTATCAGCTTATAAAACTGGGATAATTTTTTTTCCTGTTTGCAGAAAGTGTTGTAGACAGCTCTTTTGGTCTCAGGAAGATAGTTGTAAATCGGAAAGTACTAGGAAAGGAGAAAAAGCAAAATCATAAAAAACTTCTAGAAGCAATTTGCATGAGGGTGTAAGAATTGAAGAGGTTTAGCTTAAATATATCTGGCAGAGTTGATAGTTGAAAATGCATGAACTCCAAGGAGAAGAAATTAGGAGTTAAGAAAGTGGAACTAAGGATACCAGAATAAAATTGAGAAATAATAATGTAACTGTTGTGGATTTTCAAGAAGATGAGTTCTTCAGATTGTCAGCTGTTCTCTCTTTGGGTATTTTTAATGAAAATATCCATAGTGTGTAGACATCTTTATTAACTGTCGCTTCCAAATTTTATTACTCTGCTATAAACTGTGGGTAAGTCAAAAGTCAAAGCAAGAGCACAGAGCATCATACCAGATAGCTGACTTGATAATGAAACCTGCAAATAATATCTTTCTCTGAGGGTGTAACTGTTCTGGACCATGTTTTTTCAGGACGTGATCCATGGCTCAGACCACGAGGCAGTACTGCAGCTAACTAATCTTGTGGAAGGAACCTATATTTTCCACTTGAAAGTGACGGATGCTAAGGGAGACTCAGATGTTGATTCAGCAACTGTGGAAGTACGGCCTGGTATGACAATTAAAAGGTCATTGACATGTTGTGAATACCACATCTTTGTTCTCTTCTTCACTTATTTATTCGGATGTTGATGAGAATCTCTCAAGTTAAAACACAGAGTAAACAGGTTTCTACCTTCTTACTGTTTTGTGACTAGGCCCAAGTGTGTTAAAAGGTGACGTCAGGATTCTTAACTACTACAGTTGCCATAGTTGGGACCATAAATAAATAAAACTTATACTTACTAATTAATATTTTCATTGGGCTTTTGTTGCTTCTCATTCACTGTAGGGTTTCTGTTTCTTTTTTTGGTTGTTAATTAGTTTGGCCAATAGGAAGAAATGGGAACTGACCATTAAATTTAAGTACAAATGCTGCTGTTTGATGGTTGAAAGTGTGGCTTTGTTTATTTTAGTTCTTTTGTCCTAAAAGACAAAAAAAATTCTCAAAGAATTTCAGGGGATTGTAAATGCGGGTGAAATAACCAAATTATGGAAATTGAAATCTCAGGAAAATATCTGAAATCTTGGATCTGTCTGTTTATCTGGCTCTTGGGCAATGATTTTGTTTTTGTTCCTCAGTTTACTGTTGAATGTAGTCATAGTAATTGGATTATGATTCTCATTGAATATCTGTGAAGTTTGTTTTGTTTGAGAGGCACCTAGAGAAGTTCAAGCATCATATAAAAGAAACCTCAGTTTGTAAGGGTAGGCAGGGTTAACGTACCTGATATTTCTCAGATTTACCATCCTCATTTAGACTTGTTCACTGTCTTGGATGCTACAATACTAGTCCATCTTTGGCTCCTTTGTCCTGGGTGGTAGTCTGTAGGGAATTTGGTAATTGGACTCATCTAGTGCTTACCTCTGACTTTAAGATGGTAGCATTTAGGAGAGCAGAAGTTGCTCTTCTGCATGGAAATGTGCAAATGCTGAAAGTGCACCCTGAAGTACTTTATTTCTATTAATAAGATGGGTTACTATCTTAGGACCCACCAGTTTTTTTTGTAGAGAATGTGACAAAATAAACTGAGTACTTCTCTAAGAACACAAAAGAGTTGGCTTATCAGTGATTTGGGTCTTATGCAGAAAATTAATAATTTGGGTCTTATGCAGAAAATAATAATAATTAGTATTAATAAATACGTTCAAGTACTGCATGTTGGTACTGAAATGCTTCCCAGGCTCTGAGGGAACAGCATGTTCTTCTTCTGTCAGATCCCAGAAGGAGTGGTCTGGTGGAGCTGATCCTGCAGGTTGGAGTGGGACAGCTAAGTGAGCAGCAGAAGGACACTCTGGTGAGACAGTTGGCTGTACTGCTGAATGTTTTGGATTCAGATATCAAAGTTCAGAAGATACAAGCCTACTCAGATATAAGGTACAAAGGTATCCTGTTGTGCCAGAATGACTTGTGATTTACTTTGCCTCTCTCACAGCTCATAATTAGTTGCAAATTAATATTTCTTAAGGTGACAAGAAATGCTATACTTCTCATCAGAATATACTTTAAAAGGTGAATTTCTTCTGTGGTAGAAACTTGATGAAGTAAACTCTTTAGAGGCTCAGAAGTGACATGTTTTGTTTTTAAAAAGTCCCATTTGTTCTGTACAGATTTTTTATTTTTCCTTTAAAGAAAGTGCATGCATATATATTTCAGTGTCTTTGTTCCATAGAGTGCTGCTATTTTTTCCAAATGTTGGATGGAGAAAGATAAACATACTTGCTCACAGTGAAGCATGTATTGTATTTCAAAATAAGGTTCCAGCTCTATTTAATCAGACCATTTTTATTTCCCTTTTTTTGTACTTTTTCTCCATGGTTTTGATATTCTTAATATTTTGTAAAATTTTTCCCAGGTAACTGGTGATGAAAATTTTTTGCACAGAAGACACCACAGTGGATTCTCTTAAATGTGATATTTTACTGTGAAGAAGAAATACTCCCTCTGCTTGGTGTAGAATGCTAGAGATGGCTGTGTGTACCCTGAGAAACTTCTCAGCATGATTGGTAGAAACTGTTTACATGAGTTAGCTTTAAATTACTTTTTGTCAACCACTTTGTAATTTAAAACCCATTTTGATGTTTGTTTAGCTTTTGGCGAACTTCTTAATATTTAAAAACACAGTGTCTACCAGAAAGTCTACCATTTATAGCTATGATATTTTTAATCACAGCTTTTCAAATTACAATGTTCTGTGAAGTGTCTGATACAGGGTGAGATCAACACCACCCAATTTAAAAGTTGTGGATGACAGGGCAGGAGGGCTTCCACATTAAGTTCTCTGGATCCCTTGCTTCTGAGCTTTTTCTCCTATTAAATTCAATTCCATAAATTTACTGAAATTGCTTCAGAATGTTTTGTGACAGGCTCTATATGACAATAGAGAAAGCAAATCTATACACACTTCTTAAAGCAAAATTCACGAAGACCAAGGATGGAATTATATTTGCTGTTATCCTCTTCTGTCTTCTGTGAAACTGAGAATCCTGAGAACTGCTGATGCTCCCAGCTCAAAATGAAGATCAGTTGACTGCTCCACAGACAGAGCTCCCTAATCTTTACCAGTGGTGACGCTGGCTTTCCAGAAGCAAAAAAAGACTAAACTCTATGTGACTTTATACTTGATTGCTGAAGTGGTCCACGGAAGTGGTCTGTGACAGCAGTCCTGATCTTAGCTGTTCTTTCTGCAGCACCGCAGTTGTGTTCTATGTGCAGAACGGGCATCCTTCCACGGTGATCAAGGCATCAGATGTCTCACGGACTCTGCATGTGCAGCTTTTGAAACAGAAGGCTGACTTCTTGCTTTTTAAAGTCCTGCGAGTTGACACAGCTGGTATGTTTTGGATTGTGCTTGCCCATCTGAGAACTTTGCAGACATTTGGCCAACACAGCACCTGTAAACACTGCATGAAGTCTTTCTGTCTGCCATCTGGTGTCTGGGCTTGGTGGGTGTAGCTTTACAATAGATGATGTTGAGGACAATACTTAAAATGCTTCATGATTTGTGGCAGGTAGATAGTCACTCTTAAAAGACATCATCTTTCTTAGCAGGCAAAAAAGCACATTAATCTGATCTGCATCAGGAAGGCCTGTGGAATGAGGATAAGGATAGCTTACATACTACCTTTTCTTAGAAGATGTGCAAGACTTAATATAGCCATAAAATAGATATGTTTCATGTCTGCTTCCTTCAGGGCTTTTAGTGTTCAGTAAATAGGCTTGTAATCTAACTTTTTCTTGTCTGCCTGTATCAGGCAAAATGGATGATAGCTGTGTTACCACCTAGTTTTCTAATCTTTGCAATATACACGGGCCACTGGAGTTTCCTATAACGAACTATTTATTTTGCCCAAAATTATGCTTGAACTTCTAAGTTTATTTTAAGCTTCAGTAGTAATGTCAACTCTTTATGATCTTTAGGTATTACAGACATGACTTTTCTGTAATTTAAAACCAGGAGACAACAATTCAAGTGCATACATAGTAACCAAGCTCTGGTGATAAAATAGTCACTGATTGTGTAGTAAATTCTGTCTTTATTTACTGGTTGAAAAGGTTGTTGTTCTATTATAAATACACTCTGATTACATTCTTTCTCCACACAGCCAGCAGTCTGCTAAACTGTAGATCTATTTGACACATAACCCCAAAGGAAAGGGAGTTTCGAAACATATCACAGTATTATGAGCCAGGTGCCGTGCCACCAAACTAGTCTAACAATAAGAGGATGTATGACAAGTTGTCCATTTACACAATGGCCCCTGTGTTTGGTTCTGTTCTTAGCCTGTCTTTTGAAATGCTCTGGACATGGGCACTGTGACCCCATAACAAAGCGCTGCATTTGCTACCAGCTGTGGATGGAAAACTTGATTCACCGTTATCTAAATGATGGAGAGAGTAATTGTGGTGAGTTTGGGTGTTGTGGGATGTCTTTCAAGAGTAACTTGTTGTCATGTGAGACTGTTGATTATTTGTTCTCAGAATAGGTGATATTTAAGAGGTAGATGCTGGGGGGAGATTAAAACAGTCTGTGTTTTCCAGCCCAACAATTCCTTTCTATAGAAAGATATTTGAATAATTTCTTGAAATGATGTCTTGACAGTAGTAACCTAAATTTTAAAGAGAATCACTATTTGATGAAAAAAACGTGAAAATTTGGTCATGGGAGGGAGATTTTGCAATGATTTGGGGCCAGTTGGAGGGTTTGTTGAATAACATGGGCATTGCAAAGCTTTTGAGTAGGACTGTTGCAAAGCTGGAAAAGAGGCAGCAATTTCAATTTCTCTGAGTGGTTGGTTGATGTTTCTGTGCCAGAAGTATGATCTGATCTAAGCAAAGAAAACATCGGTGTTCTGGACTGACCAATACTCTGACTTTTAGAACCTGATAACACTGACAACTCTGAGTGTACACATCAGAGTTCAAATGATTGCATAACTCTCTGTAACCTTTCCAGTTTACCTAGATTTATAAATATAAATGTCTGGGTAGAAGGATATACCTGTAATCAGCTCCTCTTTTGAAGCACTACTAAAGTGCCAGACCCAGAGTACCTCTGTTTATTTCAATTAGGGAATGATAACTGAGATAATAACCATGACCCTTTGCAGGACTGTCAGTTCCCACATAGACTTCAAATATCTTGGGATGGCAAAAGGTATTTGAGAGGAAGAAAATTTTGTAATGTGCACTTCTAATCTAAAAGCTTAAAGATTTTAAGAATTCATCAAAGAAGATGATGGTGCTGAGTTTTCCTACATTCTTGTTGCCACTCCCCATTCCTCGGGATTGGTTATTTTAATAGAGTTGTATTAAAAGTTATTCATATGACCTTACAAAACACTGTTGTGTTTCTTTTTTCAGAGTGGAGTATACTCTATGTGACTGTATCTGTTTTTATTTTGATCGTGGTCGTGGTAGGGCTTGCCTGGTTCTGCATCTGCTGCTGTAAAAGGTACATTATTTGTGTTTCTTTTTCATGGGGTATACACAAAAATAGCACACCACTGCCACTTTTTAGTCCAGTCCATAGCACTAAACCACTGAGCTGATTTTGGACATGCGAGGAGCTTTCTGTAGCTATTTCTGAAGACACACACTTCTTTTGAAAAAAAGGAGTATCCATTTGTGTGTCTGTGCTCTTCTGCATTATGAAAACCAAATAGTTAATATTGCAGTATCCTTCATATTAAGTGATAATGTTAAAATGCTGAGAGTATACGCAGATCTTCAGTCTCCTACTGAGTTCTGCAGGTACTCCATGCTATAAAAACAAAAGGCATGTCCTATAGGTCACTAATGTAGGAATGTTCTAGGCCATGGGAAAGGATCTGCTCCCATTCTGGTTTATCCTTTGGAGAAGAGTGGGTGGCCAGACTACATGTGGCTTACAGGCAAGGAGTACTCTAGTGATACCAGTCATACAGACTTCTTGCTTTCTCTTTCTTTAAAAAGGAGCATTCAGTAGTATTACCGAATGTTGTTTCCCTCCCTCCAGTCTTTCCCTGAGCTGATAAGAAATTCTCTTTCAAGTGACAAGCCTCTGCAAGTTCTGTCACTAGAGCAAGTGTTTTTGCTGCAGCTCAAATAGCTCAGCAAAAAGATAGCTTGTTCAGGTGTTAGCAAAAATAAAATGCCATCAAAATCTTTCTGAATTTTAATCTTTTTCTAGGGTGTCTTTGCAGTATGTAAAGGATGTGTAGGAGTCAATACCAATTTTCTTTTTATGGTTAAAGGAACCGTGCTATTAATATAAAACTTTAAATAGTATAGTGTGTCCCATTCCACTCCCACAGTGTGGGGTGGAGCCTCACAGGCTTGTGTGTATTGGATGATTATTTGAGGGATTTTTTTATAAGTTCAGCTGCTTCTGTCATTTGACCTTGTATGGCTTGTGCCTGAGAGTGAGGGCTGGTTGATACAGATCCATGTGAAAAAGAGGAGGGAATTACAGCACGGGATAGAATGTCAAGAGGGGACATGGAGGGGAAGCCAAGGCTGGCTGTTGCTGTAATGCTGGCTGAGCAGTAAGGGAGCTTCTCCACTGTGAACTGTGGGGGCACATGAATATTCATCTACTGTGTTTGTAGTTACTATGCTGAAATTCAACAAACTGTGGTTTAGGAGAGCAAATCAATCTGCCTTGCTTTCTATATCAGTGAAAATTAACTATACTGTCCTGTCCATATTGTATAACTGTCTTATTCAGGTATAAACTAGCAATATTTTTAAGTGGAGGTGAGAAAGTACAATGGCATTCTGTATATTGAGGTCTGTATATAAAAAGGAAGGGGAGCGGCAGATTTATGTGTGCACATGAGAATTAAATGTCTTTTTGGTTGCTATCTTTTTAGCAGGAAGAGGACAAAGATAAGAAAGAAAACAAAATATACCATCCTAGATAACATAGATGAACAGGAGAGAATGGAGCTACGGCCCAAATATGGTATGTGTTGTATGGCAGCCTGGGAGCTCACCCACCAAGTGTGCAGCCAATGTGACTGAAGCAGGCCCAGAAGCAGGCCTACAAGTTTGGAAATGGCAGAGACAAATAGTGAAGTGCCTGGGGGATAATCAGTCAACTTCTTTAATAAAGCCTTGGGCTCAACCTCTGCTCTGAGCTTCTGAGTTTATCTTAATTTAGAACAGTCAATTGCCCCACAGATTTTCTCTATGTAAGCCTTCCTCTTCTGCACATGCTTTACTTTGGAGCTGGTTTTGTGGCTGCATATCAGTGCCTTGTTAGACATTAGTAGATTTCAGCTACTGTTTTTACATCTTTTAATTTATCTGACTTTCAATTTTTAGCAGGGGAAATCTTGGAATCCAAGGAAACAAAATAATTCTGAAAAATTGCTGTCCTAGAAAGACAGAGATAATGTTTCTGTAGAAAGCATGACCTTTCATTGCCACTCATGTTAATAAGGTTATTGAGTGGATAAGACTGGTTCCATATTCAAAATATTAAAAATACATTGTGTATGTACTAAGATAATCTAGTTGTTTAACTACATTTAAATTTAAATAATATATTGACATTTCAGACTCTTAAACTGATGGGCAGCAATGAAGTCGTAAGACTATCTGAAATGGATATGATGCTTCTTAAGCCAGTTTTTGTATTGGTGTATGCTGTTACATTGCACTGCAGAGAATGTTTTCACTTACCTTTGATATCATAGCAGAGGAGAAGATGGTAATATGTTACTGAAAACCCAAGCCTTTCTAATGAGTTTGTTTTGCTTTTTTATTAGGTATAAAACACAGAAGTACAGAACACAACTCCAGTCTGATGGTCTCTGAGTCAGAGTTTGACAGTGATCAGGACACTATCTTCAGCAGAGAAAAGATTGAAAGAGAGAATTCTAGAACACTTATAAATGGGTCCATCAGAAATGGAATTTCCTTCAACTACAGCTCCAAAGACAGATAACTAAATGAGGGTAAAAGCACAGAACACACTGGTGCAACACATCTGAAACATGTTGGCCCACCTCTGTTTTTCCAGAACCAAAATCTTCCTAAAATATCAACTAATTTCAGATTAAAGGGTAAATTTTTAGTACAGGTAAAGGCAGAAGGAGGGAGAAATTATTAGATGTCAGCTCTTGTCACCATTATAGGAACTAGAAAACAAGAAAAAGCACATCTTATTTCTTGCATGTTCTGTGCTGAATGTTTGAACTTCAGAAGGCCTTTTTTCTATATCACTGCTACAAACCTAGCCAGGGCTGCTACAAAACTATGGTAACTAGAAATGACATACAGATTCATATGTGCTTCTAATGCTCTCTTTGGGAAGTGGTGTGACTTACAACAGCAAAAGCCAATACAGATGAAGTTCCTTACAGGCTCCATCTTAATTTTTAATTTAGGATGGAAACACAAAGAGCATTTTTAGTGCATTGTCTTTATCCAACTGTACTTTGGGACTTCCTTTTCTAGGGTAGTGTTCATTGGGTGAAAATATTGTGTTTTCAGAGAAAGTTAAGAACTAGAGCAGTTGCACTGGTTCGGCTGTAATGTAACATGGTATATCTATGTCCTGTAGGATGCAACATTCCCTGCATTCACACAGGAGGTGTAGTGTCTGCAGGGAAATCCAGCCCTAGGTTGCTTCTGTAATGATCAAATTGCTTTGGCTCTGCCATGTCCATTCAGGAAACTGTAGCAGGAAGGACTTGGTCTAATGAACCTTGAGAAGCATTTTGAGCATCCAAAACAACCTTTCTAGATCACTTTGAGGAGCTGTGGACCTTTTAAGACTGAATGCTCAGCTGAGGTGAGTTTTCATCTGTCAGCATCAAGTGCTCACTTAAAGGATGTGCTGGGCACTTGTGCAGTGAAATGTTTGTGGCAAATACCCTGTGTGGAGCAGGAGGTTCATTGTACTTTCATTGTCGTGGTAGTCGGTATTGAGCAATGTTTTAGATTAAACATGAGATTTTTTGACTTTTTCCTCTCTAGCTATTGAGTGACTGGATGTATTGGCCTAAATAGAGCCTTTTAGGTCTTTGGCAAGGGTAGGTGTTAATTGCAGTTCTGACATTCTTGTTCACAGTCTGGGTAACTTCTTCATAGTCTGCTTGTTTGAAATTATGTCTCCAATATTGCTTTTGAAATCCCTAACTGAAGACCATACTTTTATACACAGGCCTCACTTGTGGGAGCATCTGTGTCAGTGGTACTGTTTAGCCATGATGTCAGCTTTTCCTGGGGGTACTCTACTGATGTACTGAAGTCTAGGGCTGAGATGGAGGAATGGTGTGTTTTAATGGAGAAAAGAGTTTTGAAGAGGGTGTATTTTTTAATGTTTTGGGATTTTATTTTGTTGGGGTTTTTTTTTGTTTTTTTTTTTTTTTTTTTTTCAGTGGTAGAGAA